CAAAAGTGCATCTATATGTAGTGTGAATGAGAGGTCGTGTTCGGCGAGGAAAGCAAAAACCCTTATTTTTTACTAGCACACACGTTCAGTTATTGACGCCGGTACATCAGCTGTTGCTGTAGTTCCCAGCAAACGTGTATTTTACACGATCGCAGCTTGATGAGCAGGGTCCAACTCATGTTTGCGTAGCACCTTTTTGCCGCTGGATGCGTAAAAAAGCTTCCTGGAGAACAGCGTGTCGGAGTGAACCGCAATGGGCCCACTCCATGCAATTCCATTCTCTCCATCATCCTTCTCTCCAAACACAAAGTTTTTTTTATTTTTTGACTTTTAACACGTCTCTCCCTTGAATGAAGCAAGGTGACTTTCCCTTCAGCACTGTACCAACTCAACTCAACTCAAACTTTATTTATAAAGCACACTTAAAACAACCGGGGGTTGAACGAAGTGCTGTACAGGAATCGCAGTTAAGGAACATAAGATAAGAGCTGAAGGCTAAAATACATAAACACATTAAAATAGAATAAGATAAATGTTTTCATTAAAATACATTTTAGAATAAAATAAAATTTTGCCAAATGTCCACTTAGACATGATTAAAAGCCAGGGAAAAGTGATTTTAAAGAGGATTTAAAAACCTCAAAGGAGCCTGATGATCTAATATGCCAAGGCAAGTTATTCCAGAGTCTCGATGCCGCTGCCATAAAGGCACGATCACCTTTGGTTTTAAGTCTGGTTTTAGGCATCGCCAGAAGCAGCCACAATCCACAATCTATCTGCCGACTTGAACAAGAAACAAAGAGGAGGTACACGCTTTCCTAAGACCCGCCCCCTTCTTCTTCTGTTTGGCTGATACTGTTAGTTTCAGAGCGCCAACAAACGCAAGGGGGATTTTGATTGTCTTTTTAACATTTATTTACCATCAATTTATTTTCTAGTGATTTTATTTAGCCACGGGCGATTGCTACTAGCCGGAAATCTGGGCTGGGGCCGGAATACTTTAATCCCTGTACCTGTAACAGTTTCAAGTTCATTCTACATTTTTAGAAAACATAATAATAAAATAAAAATGTCTGACAGCAAAAGGATAAGTAACACCATTTTAGTACACAGTGGAGTCCTTGAACACATTGAACCTCCATCACTATCATAATATAAATATGGTTGCCTCAATCTGATTCTGATTTTAAAATAAATTCAATAGCAGCCAAAACAAAAAACAGCTATAGTATTATATCGGCCTGAATCTAAAACCTCTAATAAAAGCAAGCTGTTTAAAGTTTATGTAACTTTAATTGGTTAATAACACATGGGTCAGCTTTTCTTATTTGTATTGTTGTTGACGATTATTCTCTATTTGAAAAACACTTAATTAAGCCTTCTTTAATATTCAACAAATACTGTTAGTGTTTATATTACATTGGGTAGCTATCAGTATCGGTATTCTGTCAGAAATTCAAAAGCTGCATCCAGACATCCCAAAGTATCAGCATGAGTGATGTGCCTCAATAAATGGACTCGCTACTGGGGGTTCGCCACTGGGGGGACATGACAGCCATGGAGGGGTTTGGATCGTTGCACTGCATGCCACTCATTGCCGCGTTGGCTGCTGGATGCCGACCTACTTCTGCGTGGGGCGTACAGCCGCCCTGAGGTGATGCTTTTTGTCTGCCTGTGGTGTCCTTTCCCAGCCGGCTCTATCTGGCCTTTGCTGCTCTGAGGCGCTCTGGGCTTTTCTACTGTTCACGCCACACCTACAAACGAACACTCCCTTATACACATTCGAAACAAACACACCTTTTTCTACGTATACATCCCTCGACCTTCACATAAACACGACCTTGTGCTTGTGTGAAGGTCACGCAAACACAGGTTTAGAACAATATTAATGTTGATGTTGGTTTGAATCTGGATTTAATTAAGCTGATCATAAAACCAGGATACTGTCGGGAGGTATTCACCTAAATAGAGTACAAAGTTACCCTTCATTCATTAGATTTCAAATTTAATTCCATATTTCAATGTATATCTATGTATATAGATATCTATAAAACACACTTTGATGTGTTTTAACCCTGTAATGCCAAATGTGTCATATTTGATACATACGGTTTCTGAAATGTTTTGGATCTGACACCTTTTGCATAATTTAATGGTAAAAACTTTGCTCAAAATCCTATTGTACACAATCAGATATACCTGATAACAGAGGGCAGAAGACGACACAAAAAATAATCTTGAATTATCGCATAGTAATAAATTATTAATATCAAAAATGTATTTCTGTTTTTTCTTTTTACATATTTTGTTAAAAGGCAAAATAAGGACTTCAAACCAAAAAAAAGCAATTTTCTGTTTTGTTTTATTCTTGGATCGGGCTTTAAAGGGTTAATGTTGTTTATTGAATTGTATTTTGGTATTAAGAAAAATTGACAAACCTAAAACTCCAGAGCAGTTTAAAGCTAACTGCTGGTGTCAAAGTGGCAAAAATCAACTGTCATCCAGCGCTGTTAAGAATGATGGCCACCATTTTGCATGTTTGCTAATTGCCTTTTTCAAAATGTACAATGTTATGCATGGATTTTGATGTAAAATCATAGAGAAGGTAAAGTAGTTCCACAGGTGGCCGGCTGAAATCTCACTTTAATCAGTTTAATCTCAATTTTAGCAGGAAGAATTTGAGCAGAAGATGCCCCAAAGTGAGCTAATGCTGCGTTCACACCGGACGCAGCAGGCGCAGCAGAAGCAGCGAGTTTACATGCAAAGTCAATGGTTGATGCGCGTCAAGGCGCAGCAAAATGTCCCGCAGCGCGTTTTGAGCAGCAGGAGCAGCGCGTCTGAAGCGTTTAAGCATCTGACGCGCCGCAAACGCGCTGCTGCTCGAGATGGAAAAATTGAACTTTTGCTGCTCGACGCGCCAAATCAACCAATCAGAGAAGCTGGCAGGGAGACAAACACATCGCTGATGATACAGAGCGCTGTGATCACTCCTCTGAAACAGTTTATTAACGTCTAAATTAAATTAAAATGCTGAAACCTGCCAACAAAGTGTGTTCGCTTTTATTATCCTGGTGCCTGTAGTTTGGATTATGTACATGAAAACAACCTTCCAGCCTCCACGGCGAACCGCGAGGAGCGTGCCGGGCCAGAGGCTGCTTTTGAATGGGATTCCTACTGACGGCGCACCGCCGGTATGTGGGAGTCTGAGCGGCTCCGACAGAACTAATATTGGAAGGCAGGATGGTAATCTGAATGAACTGACTGCACTGATGAAGTTTTCAGGTGTATTTTCTCACTTAAAAACATATTAAAACTACTTTATTCCCACTGATCACAGCAAATATAGCTGCAAGGCAAAGAAAGGATAGAGTAGCTCCGCTCAACGCGCGTCAGACACACTTTTGCACCGCGCAGCCAGAGCAGCAAAGCTGCTAAACTAAACTGGTACAAGCAGCAAAAATGAAGCAGCAGACGCGATTTTGCTGCTCTTGCTGCGTCCGGTGTGAACGCAGCATAAGGGTTCAGGGAGAGACAGGCAGACATACATATGTCGTTTTAGGTGCATTTCATTAGTTTAGGATAGTCATAAGCAACTTGCAACAACCGTTATGCAGCTATTACAAACACAATTCATTGAACTTTTAATATAGATAGACAGAAGGACAGACAGACAGACAGGCAGGCAGGCAGATAGATACATAATATATATATATATATATTTTGTATGAAATACGAATCAAAAATTTTAAACTAAGAATTACATATTTACAAGTACGAATCTACTACTGATAAAGCTGTTGCACTTACCACCAGTTGGTGGCGCTAATGCACTTTAAAGATGTCGTCTTCTACTTTGAAGAAGAGGAAGACAACACAAGAGACCTATCAATGAAACATTCTACTACACTTGTGTTAAAAATCAACATGTACATGTAACGTTCAATCGATGGATGTTTATGCCGTCTTCTCTGTCTCCTCGTTTAATTAATTGGAGAAAAACCTTCAGGATCATTAACGCCACCAACTGGTATGAAGTATAACAGCTCCATCAGTGGATGTAGATTTCCTACTAGTAAATTTGTGAGTTGTACAAAAATGTTTATTGACTCACACTTACCAGTTCAGACACCCGTAGATGTTTTTATTGACAGTTATCTTATTTCTGTGTTTGATAGCCTTTGTATGCACTATAGGTTATATACCCTTTACATTTAAGATGCTAGTTGGATTAGTAGTGAATGTCATTCTTGATTCACTGATTATTAATCTTCGTTGGTTCTCCTTACTTTAGGCAATGTTGCTTTTACAAGTTGAATTTTTTCACATCTAATCTTGAGAAATGTGCAGAATTTTCCAGAATCTTTCAATAGTTTAATAAAGATAACTGAATCCAAATGTAGGTTTCATCAGTGGATTGAATGTTGCAACGATATATATATTGTTGTGTTTCTGTTTTGGGTTAAAACCTGTCCTATAACATAAAAAGGTGTTTATAAACGCCACGCTCTAGTTTCAACGAAGTCACCTGTACCTGAGGTTTCCAGCTGTAGTTATTGTGCATGTTTATAACCAACTACTGAACTTCACAATTTTATTACTTGCCTAAAACATTCAGGAAACTTGTTTTTTAATTCAATTCTGTAAAACAATGGCAGAAAACCAGCAAGTTATGTACATTTGTAAGTCACAACGGCCACATTCCCTCTGTGTTTTCTGAGAACCGGACTACCGCATGATGTTTATTCAACAAACTGAAAGTCGAATGCAGCTCATATGGCTTCATGTGACACAGCTGGAAATGCCGTTAGCTGTAATGAAAGAGAGGGGACCACGGCAAATGAAATAAGCCGATGCAGATCCCTTCATGGTGTAAACCTCAGTGAGCAGATGCTGCTGAAAGCTGCATTCATCACACAGGTGAAGGTATTTACTTTTACTGAGCTGCAACTTCCCTTCACCAAGTTTTGCTACATGCTGCATGAGAGGAAAAACAAACTTACCTGGGTGTTTTCCAGATCTACGCTCGTCCCTGACTGGCTGCTTGGGGTTCCCCTATCAGGTGATAAGGGTCTGTAGCCAATGAGAGGGACGTCGCTTGACTCCACCCCCGGCAGGTCATAGCCACCGGTACGCAGGTTACGGTGGAGCATGGTGCTGGCTGACACAGACAGGAAAAAGGAGAGGAAATGTTTAATTTTCTCTTATTTAGGTGCTGAGGAAAGCATCTCAAAAATAATAATTATAACAAAACTTTGCTATTGAAAGGAATTCACTTTAAGCCTTTTAGCCATTAGACCATGAAGACAAGCCAATACATCAATAACTGTTACCCACTCAGGCTGGCCAGATATGGAAACCTGCAATGTGGCCAAAATCATTATACTCAGTTGCTATTTTTGCTGTGATTCAAACAAACTCTTCCTTTACGACTCCAGGTTTAAGTAGAAGACAAGCACAAGGGGGTGAGTGCAGCAGGTTCACAGGCTGAGCTCATTTGACAGGCAAACACCAGATGACATTATGTGAGCGGGGGCAGCGTGCAACACTTGTTTTGAGCTGAGCAGGAGAAACGCTAAAGCAAAAGTAGGAAGTTTCTCAGAAATGAATCGTTTTCTCGTCCGGATCAGCAAATCATTTGCATCACTCAAAAAAATGATACACCAAGCGTGAAAATGGGGACATGAGAAAAAAGCTAGGTTATATGTGTTAGCCTAAACCAGCTATAATTGTAAAAATAGCAGCTCAGATGGTTATAATGGAGCAGTTTTTACAACTGCTCTGCAACCCTGGCAACCATTAACGCAGGAATAATGTCACTTACAATAGAATAGAATAGAATAGAATAGAATACAATAGAAAATCCCTTTATTGGCCCACAATGGGGAAATTCTGGTGTTTACAGCAGCAAAAAGATGATAGAAAAAAATGGTCACATGAATGTGGAAGAGTTAAAAAATAAACAAATAAAATACTGTACGGTAAAGTGTTTTAATAATATAAATACTGTCCACCTGGAGAATAAATAACCAATATACAGCTATGACCATTTTTACAGTAATGGGTATTTGAAAAGAGCAGCAACATCAGAGATGTGTAAAATGACAGCAGCATGTTATTAACTGACCAAGATAGAAACTGTGCAAAATCAGCCTGAATTTAAGAACTAATTGAGGTTATTAGGAACAGTGATGGTTATAAAGTCTTAAAGCTGCTGGGAGGAAGGATCTGTGATAACGCTCCTTGGTGCATTTAGGGTGCAGCAGTCTGTCACTAAAGGAGCTCTGTAATTCACTGCTTTGTTAGACTATTGCTTCCTTGCATAAATGAAAACAACATTTTAGAAGAACTGAAATTCTGTTTTTGAAAACATGTTGTTCATCGATCTTTATTATTGACTAACCTGCAGTATTAAAACAACGCAGAGGATTTAAAGCAGCTGTCTACCATTCAATCTTAAAGTCGTAGGGAAGCGGCTGTTCCAACCGTTGCATTTCCTAATTCCCCCGAGTGGTGCACGACTTTACATAGGTGAATAAAGTGAATATGATTGGTCGTTTATCAAGGGGATTGCTGTCGCGGATGGTTCGCTAGGAAGTTTGGTTGTGGCCGGTTTCTCTGAAGGATCTTGCTAACCAGTTAGCAACTTACTGCTAGTAGGTTCCCAATGGGAAATTCCATTGGGACCAAGTAGCACTAAATTGGTGACTTAGAAACGACGCTGTCAAGGAACGCTATGGACAGAGGAAACATGCAAGAGGAGGAGAGTTTAGTGTCGGAGGTCGTGGATGAGTCTCCTCCGTCATCCATTTTTTATTTAGAGGAGGAAAGCGGGGATGAAGATGTTGTGGAAGAGGACGCCAGGGCGGCAGAAGCTTGGTTTGGTGTAGAAGGCTTCCAGCCGTACATGTTTGAGCCCTTGCCCTCGCAACGCTGCCAGTTCTGTTAGCTCTACGCCTGCTGAAGACACAGACGTCCATCCCCGTGAACACTGGGACGGAACTCAATGGGAAAGGAAATAACTCTTATTTCAACCATTGCGTATAATTAGCTGCGAAATGTGAATCAAGATGCTATGACTGAAAAAATTTTATTGACAGATGACCGTTGGTATATGATTGGCCAAATTTAGGTGTTCAGGCTGACGTAGAACTAACTGGCCTGCATAAAATAACTGAAAAAAAACACTGATTTTTTTTTTTTTTTTTAATAGAAATTTTCTAAACTTTGGGACAATATCGTCTGATAAAGAGTACATTTATATACATGTTTAAGCCAGAATGATTTAACAATTAAATAGGAATTCCCTACGACTTCACATTTTTTCAGGTTTTCTGATGTTTATTCTGGTATTTTTATTTCATTGTGTGTAACTTTATTAAGTTACACACAACCTTTATACCTTTATCATCCCACATGTCATAACATTTCTATAAATGCTAGCATGTTACAGACTGTTTTTTTTCCACACAAACATTATTTTAGCAAAGAAAAAAAACTAAATTTCATAGTAAAAGACTAGTTATAAATTCCTGATACTAAATTAGTTAATAGCAATCAAGCTTTAAACTGGGTTCTCGCCAGCATTCCCCATCTTCAAATTTTTCCCACTACGCCGAACTTCAGGCCGATACATTTATTTTTATGAGCTTATCAACCCTTTGATTGACATCCGAGCTCCCTCCCCCAGGGCTCTGTCAGTTCAGCACAACCTTTAGTTACACTGAAAGTTGCCAAAATTAAACTAAATTTAGGCAAACACACTGATGTTTAATGAGGATAACTGCATTTTAAACTGCATTGTAAAACACATTTCCATCCTTATTTTCACATATTTTGAGAAAAGTAGTGTGAAAATTGAACCCTGTGCCCTTCAGATGCTGTAATGTTTGTTTAGGGCCCTGTCACACCTTGCTGATTTAGCCAGTGTATGCCTGACATCCCAGAATCTACTAAAACGCTGGCATAGGCTGCACTTTTTATGTATTTTTTCCAATTTTGGGCGTATGCAAAGAGTATTCATAACAACTTCTTGATGTAACGCCGTAGTGAAAGGCATTACCAATAAATTTTCTGTAATATTTTACTCGGTACATGTTCAGCAAAGCTTGCGTTACAAGACTTATTTATAAAAAATAAAAAAAAAAGTAAAACTGCGAGACCGCGAGACATTTATGAAGGAGAATTAGGGTGGGTTCACAGGAGTGGCGCGCTGCGCAAGACATGATTTCTGCATAGTGCTCGCGCTTCCTAGTGGAAAAGCTAACAAAGATGGCAGAAGACGACTGTACATTCGTGAGATGGATGTATGTGCAGAGAAAAGGACAAGAAGAACGTAATAGTCAAATGCAACCTTTGTGTAAAACCGAAAGCAGTGCGCACTTTATAGTTCCTGTAAAAGGATAAGATTTGTTCATCATGTGCATTTTGTTCATGACAGTTTTGTGTTGTAAACCTCTTGAATAAAAAAATAAAAATAAAGAACAAATCTTGTCATGACATTACCGAGTTTACATACAGTTCTGTTGTGTCTAATATTAATATACGCAAGCTATTCATGGATATTACCAGATAATCACTTTAATTTAAGCAGACTTAGATAATTTGTGATTTTATCTGTCATCCTTTCTTGTCTTGAGACTTCACTTTGCCAATTATATGTTATATTGTTAGTAGCCTGGATAGCCCACAGTCGTTTTGGAACATCATATTGCCTTCTACTGGATGTAAAATGCTCTGTCAACATTAACTATGTTACACACATGTAATTTATTTTTACATTTTGACATTTTAGAAATGGAAAGGTCTACCTTGTAGTTATTTTGGTGAAAGCAACTCAAAAGTGATACAGGAGTAACGTAACAAATTACAATTCTGAGACAGTAATATTGTAATGTAAATCATTACTTCTACATAACAGTAACAAGTAATCTATAATGTATTACAGTTTGGAAGTAACTTGCACATCACTGTTGATAATTTACGCATAGGTTATGCACAAGTTGCTAATAGGTTTTGAATAAGCTAGACGCCACGACTTATGAGTAACTTACACTGAACGTATGTCAACGATCCGATAATTGACCTGTAACTTATGGCCGCCTATGAGCATAGGCTGGCATACGTCAGGACCTACTTGCCGTATATCAACGTATGCCATTGTGCTTCAGCGTGCTCATAACTTATACAAAACTTACCCAAAACTTATCCAACGTATGCCAGCGTTTTTGCCAGATTTTTCATACATCGGGCATACACTGGTCTAAAATCGTCAAGGTGCGACAGGGCCTTTAATAGAGACATTTAGTGAAAAAACCCTGCATCACTGCTTAATTTGAGATGCATTTAATGATTTATTTAGGTGTATAAACAGTACTTGCTGTGTATCAATGCTCCCTGCAGCCTTTATGGCAGGCTCAGCCCCACTTTAAACACAAGCTAACTAAGCTAACAGGTTTTGTTAGCCAACCAAGCAGATATGACATGTAATCGAACATATTTTTAGTTCACTGATATAACTTCAGAACTTCTCAACCTGCTGGTCCAAAACACAGAAGGAAACTGTTGCATTCCGCGACAGTGCGGTTTTCAGGGCGCTATACCAGGAAGGTACAGGTCAAGCTCCCCCTGGTGGCTAAAATGTGCACGACATTGCTTCAAAATTTAAATGAAGTTCACGTCTGCTTCCTTTTCTGTGGTGAAACTGGAAGAAAATAAATAGAACTTTGTTTTTTTTATCTTAATTTCCTCAGCATGACCACAACAGCTATTTTCCTCACATAAGAAATGATGAGTGAATTAAATATTTTTTTCTAAACATCTAAAAAGCTTGTAAGGGGTAGAATCACCTTTAATCTCGCACTAAAATGCTGTATTGATATGGTTTTGTTGATGAACACAATTAATTAACTATTTAAACTGATTTCTACAACAAAGACTGAGATGAAATGTTTAGTGTCTGCTGCAAACATTTCAGATGAAAATAGCAGAAGCTGTGAAGCTGATGATAGGCGGTAGGTTATGGTTGATTTGTTTAACAGTCACTGATGCCGGAAAGCAGGTCTGGATTTGCATAGCAACCTTTCCTTCCATTTCCCTTTCCCCTCTTAGGTATTTGATGTGAAGCTAGACATTGAGTAAACACAGTTTTGAGGAAGAGAGGTGCAGTAGGGATTAGAGATGTTCATGTTCATGTGTTAAGAGATGCATGGGGATTTAGCTACAGCTGTACAGCATATATATATATATAAAAAACTTTCTTCTTCTTTCTATTTTGACTCATGCAGATGTCTTTTTTTGCAACACTGTTTCTTACATCATTCCGGATTTACTGTAGGATTTAAGATCCTGCTCGCTTTCTCAAGAGCAGTTTTGCAGTGTGCATGAGAAGAAATAGGCTGGAGGGGAAACAAGGCATCAACAGTGCAGCGTGTGTTCTGCTCTGCAGAGGTCTGAAAGGCAGCTATTCACAGGCTTTGACCAAAGCAAACTGCCCACATATGACTGAGGTATAAACACACATACAGCTGGAACTAGGTTAGACACAAGCTACACCCTATTTTTTTTCTTTTTTCTTCTTCTTCTTCTTCTTCTTCTTTTTCTAATCGGATGTTGCCAAATGATTTTTGACATGTTTTTTAGACATGGATCTGGAAAGAATACAGCTTGATGTTTGTAAAAGTTTGTGCGTGCTGGCACTCCCTTTAAACACAGCTGAGAGCGCACTGCTTCCTTCTGTGACTCATGACGCACCGTGGTCAGAATAAAACAAAGTAAACGCGGCTGTTAATAACACTTACTGAGGGGCTGGTGTCATCCGCAGGACGCCGACCTATTCCAACTGTCAGTCGGAGCTGAGGCAGCATCCGAGGAGCGCTACGCGCGGCTCAGCTGGGGGGAAGTCGCACCCATCTGTGCCGCGGTCACCAAACAGGGAGTCTCTGTCACCGCGTCTCCCCCCTTCCCTCTCTATCAACGCGCCCCACACCTCGCGTCTGACCAGCCTTTAGCAGCTGATAGCGCACTTTGGTGTGGCAGCAAACTCTCCTCCTCCTCCTCCTCTTCCTCCTCCTCCTCCTCCTCCTCCTCTTCCTCCTCCTCCTTCCTCCTCCTCCTCGTGCCGCAGCAGCAGCTGCTCCCCCTAACGTCGCAGTTCCTGGATGCGTTCAACCGGATCCGTCTCTCTGGCTGGTTCAGTTCAGACGGTCATATCGGCCCTGAAGCGGCTCCGTAAACGCAGACGGATCGCCGTCCATCTGGAGACGCGGGTGCGGACGCGCAACGTGTGGACGCGCTTGACGCACTGTCGGCGCGCCCGCCACGTACACCCAAAAACAAACGCTTTTCTGTTACCACAACAAAGCCCACACACCCTTAACTTTGAAAAATATGTTAGTAAAAAGTGCATTTTATACTATATGTATATTTATTTCAGACAAAAATTCAGCAGCTAGATTTCAGACTTTTACCTTTTTTATAAACTGTGTTTTATTTACTCACACATACAAGTAAACCAATTACATTAATACTAAGACTTACAGGTATACTTAAATACTGAAGCTTGTTTTTGCTTGACATACTTTCCCTTATTTCTGCCACATATTACTGATATTTAAAACATTTTGGTCTAAAAATGTAGAACTATTAATTTACAGTCATATATTTATATTACTGTTTATATATATATATATATATATATACATATATACATGTGTACATATATACATAAATATACATGTATATATATATATATGTACATATGTACATATATGTACATATATACATATATATGTATATATATGTACATATATATACATATATATACATATATATGTACACATGTACATATATACATATATATACATATATATATGTGTATATATATATATATATATACACATATATATATGCATATATATGTATATATGTACATGTGTACATATATATGTATATATATGTACATATATATACATATATATATATATGTACATATGTACATATATGTACATATATACATATATATGTATATATATGTACATATATATACATATATATGTACACATGTACATATATACATATATATACATATATATATGTGTGTATATATATATATATATATATATATATATATATATATATATATATATATATATATATATATATATATATATATATATATATATATTTTTTTTTTTTTTTACTATTTTTCAAGGCTGCACTTTTAAAAAAGATGAAATTGCCCAGAGAGCTGTTCGAAACGAAATTTCTTTTTGTTTTACACGTGTGTAAACAATATGACAAATAAATCTGTCTAAGTCTAATTCAAGCATCGGAGGAGAAGTACATGATAAGTATATTTACTACTGTAGTACACTAAATTGGGTTGTTTTTTAACCCAACATTACAGCTGAGTTGGGTTATAAACAACCCAATTTAGAATATATTTGTAGTCAAATATTTTCTAAACTGCTATTTTATATATACTTCAATAAACTTAAATGTGAAGAACAAGCGTATAACTATTACACAAATAGTATAAAGATGATTGAACTGGCTATGTACTTGAAATATACTTTTGTAAACTTAAGATTAGTATTACTATGTAAATAATAAAAGTTAGCCAAATGCTAAACATTAAGGGAAATAACCTCATAAAATTTAAAATTTACCACTTTAATATTAAAGAGTTGCTTATAAGTTTATCAAACTTTGAAATTATATTTTACTGAGACATGAAATGCAGTTTCTTATTTTTTTCAAATTGTGAGATGACTCAGAAAACATAGGATTTGTCTTAAAATCTCAAAGTTCTTACTTAAAAATCTTAAAAATACTTTTTATTTAGAGCTTATAGTACCTTAGTGGGGAAATTTGTCATCTACAGTTTAAGAACAGAAACAATCTCAGCTTTGAATCTCCAACATTTACAGTTGCTCCAAATGGTGAATGCTCTTATCACACTGATAGGTCAAACTCCTGATAAAGGCCAACTTTAAACTTAAATAAGGCTTTATTATCACTGTACACAACATTTATATTATTTTGATCAGCAGCATCTCTTAAGCATCAATTTATATTGTTAAAAATGTACATTAAAATACATCTCTAACTCAAAAGTCAAATTGAAAAGTTGTTTTTTCCTCATTTCACAACAAAAACATGAAAGTTAGCTGAACTTTGACCTTTGGAAAGAACAAACAACTTAAAGGCAGAAGTGCTGGCAACGTCACAAAGCTATAGATTACAGCTACCTTGGTTTTCTGAACTGACTTATATAATGGGCCCTATATTTAACACTTCGTTTTTCAGCTCAAAAAAGGAAGTTTTTTTTTTTTTAACAGTGTATATGAATTAGAATTCTTCAGAGTATGTGATCTGTAATTTACTTGCTATTCTTCTAGTTATAATAATTGCTCAAGTGTACTTATACTACTTTGGTTATTTCACTGAAATTAATAAATTTTAAGACGTCATGTTAAGTTCAGTCTTTAAACTTTAAAACCTAATCAAAACTCTACTAATCAGTTTTTGTGTAATTGTTTTTCTTTGCATCAAACGGTCTTTATTTGCTAAATTAACTTCCTACAGACATTTGGCAGAAGAATAAACACTTCAATTACTGTTGGTTTTTACACTTTACTGGTACCTTGTTGGATCCGTACCACCTTCAGAACTGCATCAATTGGGTTTTAACATTAATTTGAGTGTCAAAAGACATCTTTCTTTTAAATTTGATGGCTTCACATCTATGATGCAATGTTTCTGTTCCACCACATCCTAAAGACGATCTGCTAGATTAAGGTCCGATGACTGGAGGCCACACTTTATCACTTTTTACGCAACTGGTGTGAGATTATGTTAACGTTGTGAAATTGTACATCAACTTTCTAAAGCAGAAGATGGAAACTCTTTCCTTAGCAAATAGTAATATACTCGAAGTTTGTTTTGTTGATATTATTACAAAAAAAGCAAGTAGATATTACAGACCATGCACCGGTGTTCATAGTTTTCACAGGGAAGTCTAGGAAGGGACCAATGTGCACTGAGCGGTGATGGGAACTAATAGGCAATGAAACCAGTTCAGGGTCCATCTGAACCAACAATATCTATTTTTTTCCAAATGAATTACTAAAGACTGAGGAGATTTTCCTGTATATATATATATATATATATATATATTATATAGTCAATGGGGCAAGAAGTTGTTCTTAAAACTAACACTTGAAAGAGCAAGAATTAAGCAGAATTTTAGTTCTCCTTTCAGGTTTTGGTTAATATACAAATTTTAGAATATCAAAGTAGCAAACCGCACACTGCTGCCACCCTCTGGCTTAGCGGAGAACTGCTGTTTGTGCGCTAATCACATACGTCATCATGGATGACGTATGTGAGAATGTACTATTCTTTTTAGTTGTTTTTATCAGTTATTGTTATTCATTTCTTATATTATGTGTAAATGGTGGTGACAGTGATTTTTGTTTTTTAAGCATATGCACTGATCGATCGATGGCACATTTTTAAATTTCGTTGTTCTTGTGACAATGACAATAAAGATAAATTGAAATTGAATTGTAATGATTGGCTTTGGCCCCCCCATTCCAGCTTCACCCCTGGTACCATGTACTTTGAAGCGTACTTCAAAGTATTTTCATTTAATACTTCTTACGACCTAAATGGGACAATCTTAAGTATATTGTTACTTCTATGTATGAAGGTTTATACTATAAGTATACTTTAATCATTCCAAACATCCATCAAAATATTTGAAGTATCAGTACTTTGCAAGAGAAATTAGTAAAAGTATTTTAAAAGCAAACAAATTTCACTATTTGAATATAATCTTAACTTTATTATTTATGAACTTCTATTTATACATTTCAGAATGAGTAAACACCACTGTTGTTAAGTATGAAAAAAATATAGATTTTAGGAAAGTAAATGTCAAGTAAACGGCCTGGTTTTTTAGTTTAAAATAAGTATAATAGTTATAAGCTTTACTACACTATTTTTGCTAAGGCTTAGATTGGTGGACCTGGATGTGAAGAAGTTTTTTTATTTCTTCCTATGAACCTAAAAAAACGGTTCAACCTTAAGTTTACAGAACTTAAGGTTTAAACTTTAAACCCTTGTAAGGTTTTGTTCTGATAAACGAATATTAACTGATTTTGTGTTTTCACTTTCATTTGAAGGGAGCCTTTGTAGATCTCTGGATCAAACGGCACTGAAATTTTCAGCTGATCTCACTGTTTTCTTTAGAATCTGGGTTCAGGATTAATTTACTGAATGATGACTAAAAGCACATGTATAGAAGAAGATGATCTGTGTTGATATGTAAAAAATAGGGACCTCTGCTGTGCATTTCTACGAGAGAGACTAAAGGTTTAAGAAAATGACTTTTTGACTTCTAACAGCAATTAATTTACACAATTCAAACAATATAATCAATTATTGACGTAAAACAAGTGTCATTAAATGAGGAGCTACTGTAGTTATATTGTAGTTTTCCTTCATCCGACACAGTTTAAGAAAGTGTGAGGGGCAGCTTTGACAGAAGATGAAATATATTTGGTGTCCTGCTTAGAATAATATGATAAAAAAGGAGCTTAAAGTAAATAAATAGTCATTATAAAGCAAACTAGATGAAAAGAGGAATGATCTTATTTCTTTATTATGTGAAAGGGCTTAAAATATACGTTTAACATAAAAACTATGGAACATTTAAATAAAAGAGGGAACATATTCTCATAAAACAATGATTTTCTTTAGTGATGCAAAATTTGAAATGCGTTCATCCAGGTGCTATTCAAGGTGTGACTTCTTATTAGGCAAAACCTCAGAATCGCCTCCATGTCATGCAAAAGGAGACCTGACAAAAAATGTGTTATGAAATATGTAAATCGTCAACAAAACAGAATTTTTGGCTTTATTTGCCTCATTAAATTGAAATATATCAAATATGTGTGAGATACATCCAAACAGTGTACAATTTTCTCTTTTTTTTAGCAGACAGAATAAACTACATTAATATTTTAGTTAGTTTCACCTGTTTTATTCCAGGAAGAGCCTCTCAATCTATCTTGACTAGCTGCATCTTGATAGATCCATGAGAAACATCTTAGACTGCACATTTTCCTTTACATAAACAGCGAATTATTCAATCATGTTCTTTAAAAAGCTTGGCTTAATAAAGACAGACTTTATTGGGAAGTGCATCATCAAAGCATCTCCACTTCAAACCCTGATGTAAAGAAATGTAACAAAAGATAAGAAACAAAGTGACCGACATCTTTCCATCTTGAAAAGGTTACCTACATATTTATTCCTATTGTCATGTTTGGTTTCAGGTTCCTAACCCACATGCAGAACACTCATCAGACAGGGGAAAAAGTTCAAAGGTTTATTGTTAGAACACTGTACAGAGAATTAACAGATCCAGGGTTATCAGATCCAGGACTGGTCACGACTGGGTTCACTGTTCTGGAGTTTGAGCAGAGCGGCAGAGGGGGGGAACCAGGAGGGTCCAGAGGCAGGCGGCAGGCTAAGGGCTTGGTGGAGGCAGAGCTTGGTTTGCAGATCACAGGTTTGAGTTTCCCTTCCAGATTCTTCAGAGAGCAGGCAGGAAGGTCTTTGACAGGTTTGATTCTCCAGAGTTCTTCAGAGATCAGACAGACAGATTTCCAACAGAGGAACTCTTCTGGGTTTCTGGTTTCAGGCAGGTACGACCTGGGAAGCAGATAAGACAAAACAGATCAGGTTCTGGTTCAGGTTTTCAGGGATTCAAAGATTCAGACAGGCAGGTTGGCTCAGGCTTGCTAACCATTGGCAAACACTCTGGCGCTGGAGTGAAGCTCTCCACCTCCTTAAGTATGGACCTCTTGATGAGCAGATGGAAAACAGGTGTTGCAGGTGAGCACAACCCCTCAGGAAGGGATCCTTGGCGCCCTCTGGTGGGCAAGCCTCCGGATCCCAACACCTATGGCTTTGGGGCTCAAAATGGGTGAATTTTAGCAGGAATGGCAAATCTGCCAAAATTATTAAAATACTGCATAATAACCAGGACAATCTAAAGTTCTGCAGGACTGAGCTTCTGCACTGGAAAAAATCGAAATCTAGACAAGTTGTTTTTTTCTTAAAATAAGTGCATTTGTTCTTGAATTAAGGAAGTAAAGGTGACATCTTGCCAATGGAATGAGACAATTTACACTTAAAATAAGAAAACACAAGTGCATTGTCTTATTTCAAGTGCATATTATCTAATTATCTTATTTTAAGAGTAGAAATTTCCATTCCATTGGCAAATTATCTCACATACCTACTCAAATTAAGGGTAAATACACTTAATTTAAGAAACTTTTACTTATTTGTAGATTGTTTTTCCAGTGTGTGTGTCAGGCTCTATACAGTAGCCCAACAAAAGCCTTGTTATGGCTTATAGAACTCTGTTGGGCTACTCTATAAAGCCTCAACGCTACTCCAGATGTTCTGAATTGAGAAAGCTTTCCGGATGGGATGTGAAACGTCTTGAAACTTGGAAAACAAAGTCCAGTGGTTTGTTTTTTTTTAAACTTATTTGGAAAAATAATTAAAGAAAAAGCTCAGAATCACGGGAGAGCTCAAAAACATAAAGCATCATCTCAATCTTGTGAAAAACCTTTTGGCAAGCCCCTTCCCCTGATTCAAACATGGTGGTGGTAGTGTGGTGGTCTGGGACTGTTTCTCTGCTTCCAGACCTAGAAGCTTTGTTGTTTTTGAGGGAACCATGAACTGCACTCTCTGCCAGGAAGTCCTGATGTCTGACAACAGACTGTAAAGCAGTAAATCAGAGCCGAAACTCCTCATAGGTGACATAAAAGACTCCTTACCAGTTTTTATAAATGCCTGATGGCAGGTGCTGCTGCCATGGGTGGCACAGGCTTAGGGAACACTTACCCGATAACAGCCAGCTTGGTTTGGATAGTTTCCCCCCTTAATAACTGATTTTTATTTAGTCATGTTTTATCTGTGTAATATTAATATCACCCGTGAGATGAGAAGGTTTTACATTGAAAAGCGTTCATATTGAAGAAACAAACTGCCTAAACAACAAATATAATCTTTTTTTTTATCATCACAGCAATTTTACCTCTTGGAAGGAAAAATATATTTTGTAAAATCTATATATAATTTTAGCCTTTTAAGGCCTGTAGAGTAGTTTGACTCAACATTGGCTTTGGAAATATCTGATGAAGGGAAGTCTTAGAGCAGGGGTCACCAACGCAATACCCTCGAGCACCAAGGGGCCCTCAGGGACCACATGAGGGGCCCTCTCTGTCTACCAAAAAGAGAACAACTCATCAGTAGGCTGAGTTTGAAACTTGATTTTATTCTGTTACTCATCTTTTTTAATCATTTGTGGAGATTTTCATCATCCATCCATTTTCTAACATGCTTACTCCAAAGTGTAGAGGGGTGCTGGTGCCTATCTCCAGCTGTCAATGGGCGAGAGGCGGGGTACACTCTGGACAGGGCGCATTTCATCATATTAATCATAAATAGCATTTAAGCAATTATAGAGATTTCAAAATGACTATATCTAAAAGAAAATCAGAAAAAAAGAAACAATAAAAATATGCGTATGATGGGTGAAGGTGAACTCTGACTCCTCCAGTTCATAGGTCAGTATTGGAAGCCCTTCCTATGACTTAGTGCCCATGAAGCAGCTCTATGCCTTAAAAACGTTGGTGACCCCTGTCTTAGAGCGACCATCATCAAACCTACTTCATTCAGCAGTTCTTTTAGACTGAGGAGAAATCATATTAATTTATCTTCATGTTTTCATTTACTTGATTATTTTGACTTTCAATCTGAACAATTTTGGTATTCAGTTTAGGGATGCACGATATAATCGGCCCCCTATCGGTATCGGCCTGTATATGCCTTAAAACTGAATATCGGACATCGGCCACCCCACCGGTATTTAACCCGATATTTCATCAGCTTCTGAGTTTCTAAAGTCTAAAAAAAAAAATAAATAAATAAATACTTCTTCTTCCTCAAAAACTTATTTTTTACAGACTTAAAAACTTCTAAAGACGAGGGAAAAAATATTGATACATTAAAATATCACAATAAATTCATATGCTGATATATTGCCATTTAAAAACACCATATCAATCTCTTTTACCAATGAAATATTGCTATATGTCATCGTTATGCTACGAAATTCCCCGAAAATTCACAAACTTTTGCCATATTTTTATATGTTGATATATTGGTGCGGTATCGATCTATTTTACTAACAAAATCTTACAAGAATTTGCAAAATATAACGAGTTTGTAACAGAACGATGAAATTTCACGAGATTTTGAAAGTAAAATAGATCGATACCGCCTTTTTAAAAATCAATTTGATATCAGCATATGAAAATATATTTGAGTATATTATTTTTCAAAGTGTCAGAAATGGATAACAAAACTGCTATTTTTAATGACTACTTATTTTTGTCCAGCTTTAACATCAGTATCGATATCGGTTATCGGCTACATGAGTTTTAAAATATCGGCATATTGGATATCGGCCAAAATCCCAATATCGTGCATCCCTAATTCAGTTGACTTCTTGGTATATGAAGTTCTACTTTACATTTGTGAAAGCAACATAACTGTACAAGTAAACCATTAGAAATGTTGTTACAGAGCTGTTACACTGAAATTAACTAATTTAATATCTTTTTGGAAAATAGGTCTTTCAAACAATTGAAACTATTTAATGTGATTTTGAAAAGGCAGTCAGAATCTGAAATCTTTTCTTATTGAAAAGCTGTCAGCCACAGAGTTCCTGGTTTTTGCGCGCCCTCCAGTGGTCGCGCATGGAACACTACACTTCCACCTTTTATTTTCGATGTGCCAGGGGCCATTTTGAACCGTATACAAATGTTACCACACATGTCTGACTGGTGTACACTTAACGTGTTAGAAAATAAACATCAAGGCATAAGATGGTCGAAGCAAATGCTTTTAAAATGAAAATGAATCAACTATAAAAGGAGAAATACAAGGGAATAATCATTTTATATCGACTTTGAATACAATTTTGTTACTTTTACGTTTTTTGTCAGTTAAAGTGAGGCATAGCATTTAATCTAAATAATTGGCTTTATTTATTTTAAATATTTTAATTATGTGTATTAATTTCTATAAAAATAATGATCCATAGAGGCACAGGAAATGTTTTTGTTCTAATTCCATTTCCAAATCAAGACTCCAGGATTTATTCTATTTGATTTTACACAAAATCTATTTTTATGGCTGCAGAAAAAGCAAAAAACAAAACAAAACATGCATTATACAAGACTTGAAAGAGCCACTTTATTAAAAACACATAAGGTTTTACTCATGTCTTATTTTTCTAAACCAAACCCTTTGAAGATCTGGACAGTTTTTTTTTTTTTTCTGTTTGAAAACTTTCCTTCACTGCTCTCCTAAACTTAACCGCTACTTCTTGTCGGAGACCAATTAATGAGGCGGATAAACTCGCTAATTGGCCGCTTAATTGGCCCCTGTCGCCGCGCGCAGCATCCCTGCATCCTTCACTTCCTGCCCTCAGACATCACTAGCGTGTCTGTAACTGTTTAGGGTCATGCTCTCAGACAGAAAAGGAACCTGACACACACACACACACGCGCGCGCGCGCGCGCGCGCGTACTTCCCACACCTCCCACTCCCACGATAGCTCAGTGTTTTATGTCTGCGTCACAACAAGTCGGCGGAGGGCGAGAGGCAGAGGGATGATGGCGTCTCTGGCGGCTTGATTCCGGTGCAGCCCAGGAGAAAAAAATAAAATAAAAAAAATCCGCCTTAATAAGCTTGTGGGTGGGAGGGTGGCTGAGGAGTGAGGGTGGAAGGGGTGAGAGAGCAACAGCGACATGATGAAACCCCACCGCGGAGAAAGGATGGACAAACTAGTCTGAGAGAGACGGACGGACGGACACAGTCGCCTCCTTCCCCCCTTCTCCCCCTCCTCCTCACTGACGGTTTGACTGACACACACACACACACACACTCTCACACACTCTCTCTCTGTAAGAGGCGCCTGGCAAAGACACAGACATACATGCACACCAGCCACTTTTTGCAAACCCGCCCGCTGCGCATCGGAGCCGGCAGTAATTGGACCTCCTCAGCTGATGAAGGTTTTTCATGTCCAGCCTTGTCCAGGATCTCAGTGACCCCGACGGAAAGGAGTTCGACTTGACAGGTACCCTTCACCGGCCAGCCCCACTGTTGAATCCTCCATCTGATAACAGCGCTCTGCATGCTGCGTCTTCACTGACATGTGTGCATTGCACTGGAACAAACGCTCAGTGTGCAAAGACAACAAAAAAACGCCCCGAGGAGTCTGATCTTGCATCTTTATTCAAGTTTTTAGAGAAAAGAGATGTGAGGAAGACAGTCAGCGGGCAAAGTGCTCAGATGCCTCAAGTAGCTGCATCCAGTTAAACTGTGTTGCAGCAGTCATCATGCAGTGCTTTCACCTCCTATGTGCGCGTTTGATGTGTGCAGTAATCATTTGTCTTGCTCTCTGGTTGTGTATACTCACTGTCATCTTTTAGTCTGCTGGATGCAGGCTGGTGCTATTGCTCAGGTTTAAAGAAGAGGTGTGTGGGGTGAGTGTGTGTGTGTGGAGGAGATTTTTCGTTTAACCCCCTTTGGACTGAAAGGCCAGGGACACTGTATGTCAGCAACAGCAGCAAAGTATTCAGCGGATAAATCGGATTTCCATTTTCACACAATCCCTGCTCCCCTCTCTGTGTCTCTCCTCAGGATGGGGGGAGTCAGTGAGGGAGATGATGTGTTGGCTCGTTGGAGCGATGGACTCCTGTACCTTGGCAATGTAAAGAGAGTAAGTGGGCAAAGTGTGTGATGGGAACGTACTTTTTCAGTCGAGTGTGTGTCGATGTTGATCAGAGAGACTTTGGTAATGTTTTCGTCTCCTTTCTGCCTCCTCAGGTCGACGGAGTCAAGCAGTGCTGTTTGGTGAGATTTGAGGACAACTCTGAGTTCTGGGTGCTGAGGAAGGACATTCACTCATGTAAGAATGTTTCCTGATGGGACTTTCTTATTGAGAGAAATCTTTACTCCTAAATATCTCAGGCTAAATTCAGTCTGCATGAACTCTAGCTCATCATTATATCTTTGATCTTCTATTATTAGTGATATTTCAGGGGTTTCATTAGTTTGATTAGTTGTTAAACCTTTCTTCTTTTAATTATAAGCCAATAAAATGTTTCAGAAGTCTTTTAAACACATAAAGATGCAGAGGAACACATCATTAAAATCAGATGGTTAAATCAGACTCATTATTTCAGATTCAGCTCTGCTAGGCTTCCCAAAATCCTATTAGCTAAAGAAAATATAATAATAATAAGAAGAAAAAGCCCTTGCTTTTGATTGTTTTTAACCTACTTAAAAGGGAGAACTTTACATACAATTTCTTTTCCCGTAAAATGTTTAACCCTGTTAGTGTCAAGGCTCAGAAGAGGGGACCAAGTATTCAGAAGGACAGACAGGCAGTAAGATATTTCAAAGAGCGTTTAATTAAAAACGACAGATTTAAAGTAACAGACAGGACGTTTAAGGCAGGAACAGGCGCGCTGGAAGCTCTTTCAAGCGAGGAGGGCTGTGGCTGACGTTTTTAACATAATATTGTAGGCCTACATTTGTTGCCAAAAACTGCCATTTAAAATGCATCGGAACAAAGCATGAACATTTTAAACTTTATTTCTTCTCTTTTAATCATTCAAAACAAACAACAGCTCACAATCAACAGGATCAGGAATACTTGAATAAAACGTTGCCTAAATATAGCCTAAACTGAGCATTGAACATCTTGAAAGTCCATTCGACTATGGATATGGGGAATGATTTCATATCTGAAACAAAAAACACACACACAAAAAAAAAAAATTAACTAATTTCATATTTTATCACTAAATAGCTTAATACAGACATAAAATTTAGTGATATGCAGCCTTATTCTAGCGTAGACTTCTTCAGCCACAGGACTAAGATGAATAGGCTCATAAATAACGCTAAATGCGGCAGTATAGGGGAATTAAAACCATTTCTTACCTCGAAATAGTCAGAAATACATTTCTGCTGCCTATTGCTAGCCATGCCTAAACGAATGTAAGGTGGCGGAAGCACTTCAGGGGGAGTAGCCTAGTTTTTTATGAAATATTAAAATAATGAATCATTAGTTTATATCTTATACACAGCCCATCATTTTAATCCCATATCAAACACAGTCTTTTAAAAAATAAATACATAAATAATTTCATGTTTTTAAGTACAATATTATGTTACTCCACAGCCCCCCACCATGGGGGGCTGATGCTATGACGAGGGAGGCTGCAGCCCCCGCAGCACCCCCCTTCCCGTGCCACTGGGCAGGAACCTCTGCAGGAGGTTTAGTGACCACATTAATCTGGAGGATGATTATGAACGTGAGTCACTAACCTGTTCCTTTAGTTCAGTCCATGCCCAGAGGGCGAGGTTTAATCAGGCGATCTGCTGCCAACAAGACGCGGCGGGCGCCGCCCAGAGAGTCCCAGATACCGTAGTACCAGTGAACAGAGAATAAGCTAGAGATGACAAATGAAGGATGAAGCCAAGGTGTTGAGGAAGTGCTCAGGATTCAAAATCATGAGATCAGAAGTCTGAAGGGGTTCCAAAGGGAAATCCAGAACGGTGTCAGTTCAGTTAACAGATAGAATCCAGTAGGTCAGGCAAACAGTTCAGACAGGAACACGCTTGGTTGGTGGTTGAGAGGCAAAACAGGTCAGGATCAGGTTATCAGAAGCCCTAAGACACGCTAGAAAAATCTCACCAAAAATAATCTGGCACTGATGACTGGTTTGAGGGTCAGTTAAATAGAAGTAGGAGCAGGTGGATCAGATGAACAGCAATGAGAAAATGGACAGAGCTAAGCAGGTGAATGAAATGAGTAATCAACTGTATTATCTTTAAACCACGTCAGAACAATGGCTGGACAGTTATTTACACTATTTATACCATAGGCATAATTACAAAAAAATGCAAGATCCAAACTCTCAACTTTTGGTCTTGTTGCAGGTGACAAGATTAAGATGGTAACTTTATTAGTCCAGCCCTGTAGATGGTGGTAATGCGCTTAAGTAAGTGATACACAATTGGACTTCGCAGAAGCTCCTCACCTTCACATTTGATGATTGCACCCGCTTATACTACGGACATTTAAAGAAATAAATATGAAATCAATTAAAATACATTAATGTTTTCTTTACTTTTAAAACTGTCAAAGAGATAAAGAAAAAACTTTTGGAAAGATAAGAAATATATTTTAATGGTTAGTTAAAATTTGTGGAATTTTTCCCACATTTTCCCACTTTAAAAAACTATCTGAATTCATTTCTGATATAGTCTTTTTTTAATTCAAATTAAATAGTTGATGGAGAAAATAATAAAACCTGTATTTATTTGTTAGTATATATGTATATTTTAAAAGATTACTTGGTTCTTTATTCTTTTTAGCCAAACTGAGGAAAAGTTTAACTGTAAATATAAAAGTGTCACAGGGGCCAAGCTTGTGGCTTCAGAGCCAAAGGTTGCAGACCCCTGTAACAGGAGCCATTTGCAGTTATGTTTTTGGGCATAATTTGGGTGTATTTTACTTAGTTTCAATACTAATTAGTTTAGTGGCGGTATTTGGGTTATATGTAAATTGTTTTTCTGACTTATAATCTTGCTCTAACACTGGTGGCGCTGTGGGTGAAATCTATTTATGTGTCACAGCAGGAGGAAGAGTGAAGGGTGTAGGTATGTCACACCATTGCCTACCGCTCCCTGTTTATATACTGGTTTGCTTTTTAATAGGTACCTATTGATGAATATTGCCATTTCCTTTGCATGGTGCCATAGACCGCTCCCCAGGAATCTGGATCTCATTCAGTGTTCAGTGTGTGCATAATAAATGGGGGCATTCCCAAATGTATTTCCCAGTCTGGACATTGCCTTTTGAGCACGTCAGGACCTGGTTTTCCCACACCCAGAATTGACCAAAATTAGAGGCAATTTGATGGTCGCTACAAGTGTTAAGTGATACAAAGTACAATTTTATAAGGATAAAAATTTAGAGCAATTGGCCTGTTTGATATGAAATTTCCTATGGGGGTCCTAATATCACTTTATGGAGAATTAACCCAGACCACAGTATAAAGTGGGTTAGCTGCCACACAGAAGGTTATAGGGATCTCCAGCTAGCCGGCAGATCCGGGAATGCAAGCTAGAAGTACCTTTATAAAAGAGCAAAGTTCTGCAGTAATGGACTCTGGACAAGTGTAATGATCTCAGATTATTGGACCCAGAATTCAAGGTGAGACAGGCAGCGTTTATTTAACAAATAGGTGCGCGGGGCTGCTCGTCTGCTGCGGGGGCAGATCTCTGCAGGGATAGGAGAATACAGGTCAGTGACTGGATGTGGAGCTGAATATTACTTGGAGCTAGTCACTGACCTGATTCAAAGTTCAGTCCGTTCGCAGAGAACTCAGCAGAATCCAAAAGGGAGGTTTGACCGCAGTTGCGGCGGCCACGCCCCCAGAGTTCCTAGAGAGCGAGCATCAGACGCCGAGCAGCAACAGAGTCCAGAAGGGAAATCCAAGGCCGAAGTCAGAAGACAGTTCCAGGTTCAGAAGCCGGTAGAATCCAGGATCAGATGCGACAAACAGAGCAGACAGTTGCAAGGCAAAACTCGAGATCCTCAGGGCAGAAAACTGGTCATAATCAGGGAAACAGACAGACTCAAGATTGCTACGAATGTCTCACAAAAACACGCGAATAACCTGGCGCTGATGGGAGGCAAACACACAACTGAAATAGTAGAGGAACAAGGTGAAAATGATTGCCGATAATCAGCTGCAGAACCAATTAGACAGGGGAGCAATCGATTCCTGATATCTCCAGACATTTACGCATTAATTTTCCCCATAATGCTGTTGAAATTATGAAGTGCACCAGTCCCTCCGTCAGCCCACACTCACACAGCATAGTGCTTCCACTTCTATGCTTTACAGTTGCCATGGTGAGCTCAGGTTTGAAAGCCTCCACCTGTTTGCTCCAAATGTAACAATGGTCATCAAGGCAGAACCAATAAATTTCAGTTTCACCACATCCCAGGACAGGTTTGTTGCTTTTTGAGTAATTGCTCCTTCCTCTCTGAGAAAGTGGCCCTTTCTGCCCTGTCGGTATATGACTGCTTTCACTTTGAATGATCACATTCTCCTAGCAGCTTCAGTCAGCATCTTCACAAGGTCTTTTATTTTTTGTTCTGTGTTTGATTTGAACATTCGGCACATAAACCCATTAATCTTTGAGACAGATTCTCCTTCCAGGATGGCATGATGGAGATTGGACATTCTCCTTCTCTTTATACTTAGAATTGTTAAAACAGATAAATGAGACTCGTTAAGCGGGACACTGAAAGATTGTTTTCTTCCTTGTGTCTTAAATAGTCCTCAATGTCTTTTTAATTTTCCCATCACTCACAAAAGGAAGTGAATTTGATAGACGTCAATCAACAAATCTGATTGACATCAGAAAGTTGATGAGACCATTTGGGATTTTATTTTTACTTTGAACTTTAGGAAAAAAAAAAGAATTGTATTTCAAAATCTCTGTCATTCTGGCATTGACATTTGGCGAATTAATTGATCTTCTTGGTTGACGAATGGTTACGTTTGTCATGCTCGCATTTATATGTCTAACCCACATGCAGAACACTCGGAGGTAGATGAAAAATTCAAAGGTTTATTAACAATAAATGTACAATGATATGAACAGGTCCAAGAGGGAGCTTCACTGGTCACGAGTTGTTCACCGCTGAGGAGGACAAAGAGATTAGTGAAGGTCCAGGTATATTGCAGGTTGTCAGTGTTCAGGTCTATACCTGTTCTGGAGTGGAGCAGAGCTGCAGAGGGAGGGAACCTTGAGGGTCCAGAGGTTGTCGACAGACTGAGGGCTGAGGCGGAGGCAGAGCTTACTGAGTGTTGCAGGCAGATCTCAGACTGAGTTTCCTTCCAATTTATCTTCTGAGAGCGGGCAGGCAGATACTGACTGAGGCAGCTCTCCAGAGTTCTACTGAGAACGGGCAGGCAGATACCGACAGAGTAAACTCTCCAGAGTTTCAGGTATTCAGGCAGAATCAACCTGTGAGGCAGAGAGGAGAAAACGGGATCAGGCTAAGTTCACAAAAAGTCAGAGAACACAGACAGGCAGGTTGGCTCAGGCTTGCTAACCGTTACTGGCAAACACTCTGGCGCTGGAGTGAAGCCCTCCGCCTCCTTAAGTACGGATCTCCCGATGAGCAGATGGAAAACAGGTGGTGCGGTCGGCTCATGCTCCAGGAGATCTCGTGCGCCCTCTGGTGGAGAAAGTGGACAAACCTCCAGATCCCAACATTTCCTCATGTATCAAGGGGATCTTTCCATAGCATGAAGAGTTTTTTTTAGAATATGATGAACAAAAGATAATAATAGCTTATTCTGCAGCTTTTGCTAAACACTGATACTGTATTCAGAAGGACAAACAGGCAGTAAGATATTTCAACGAACGTTTATTTAAAAACAACGGATTTAAAGTAACAGACAGGACGTTTAAGGCAGGAACCTCTGAAGGACGAAAACACAGGTTAGTGACCACATTAATCTGGAGGATGATTATGAACCTGAGTCACTAACCTGTTCCTTTAGTTCAGTGCATGCCCAGAGGACGAGGTTTATTCCAGGTGATCTGCTGCCAACAAGACGTGGCGGGCGCCGCCCAGAGAGTCCCAGAAACTGTTCCTTTAGTTTTTTTTAGAATATGATGAAAAAAAGATAATATAGCTTATTGTGCTAGTTGTGCTAAACACTGACGGTATAAATCAAAAATGTTTTCTCTACGCTATTAAAATGACAAGTTATAACAAAACGGGAACGTTTTAGGTTACTGAATAAAAAAATGAGTAAAATATGTGAAACATTTATAATTTCCAATGCTCAGAAATGTAAAACTGTAATTTAAAGATGGGGTATGTCGCTGTGACGTACTGTCAGACGTTAAAGGCTGGATTATGTTTAGAAACCAAGTCATCTGCGTTTGTGTCTCAGTAAACGCAGATATGCTCCCCGCACCTTTCACAGACATTCTGGTGCACCTCTCCAAAATTGTAGGTGAAAAGTGCCGCAGACAGGAGGCCTCTGATTGGTCAAATCTACATCTGCTCTACACTATCCGTATTTCCAGTTTGGTACCTTACTTGCTTGTGTTGTTTGTATGACCACCATTGTGGAAAACGACTGGTGAAAATGGACCAGCTAGAAGAGCGAGAACGAGAACGGTGGGACCCTTTTCCCACCCTGATCCCCGCTAGTTTTCGCACTCATGTCCCTCCATTCTCGCACAAACTTGCTTCTTGCATTTTTCCACTTCCTCACCACCTCAGATGTATCCACATCTAGCCATGTACCCACAGCTAATTTGTGATTGTCCCTCTTGCATTGTGTCGTGGATAACACAGCTAGCTGCGACACAGCTAGCTTGCGACAAGCTAGCTGCGACACACTGCTGGGGAAGTATACACAGCCCTTAACTGTGATATGGGGGGGATGGGATCTCCTTGCTCTCAGAGGAATGTATAAACTAGCATGTCTTCTTCTATCATATCACGTCCTCACCTACTGAGCACAGTGGAGAATTTGATGCTGCTCCGCCATGCAGCACAGCTAACTGGGCGCTATCTAGTGTAGGATTTTTTATTTATTTACACAGAATCCTATAAAGTTCGTTCTGCATCCTTGCAGCCATTAAAAAGAGGAAATAAATAATCCCAGCCTGGAATCTGGATCAATTCAGGTTTCTGCCCTAGCAGGCCTCCCTCCACTCTGGCATTACTTATCTTGCAAATACAAGTCAGGCTGAGCATAAGAATGAACAACGGCATCCTCCAGTGGCCTGCAGTAATGCACACTGAAAGAAATCACCCTTAAGTGGATGTTATTATTAAACTGTATAAAACATTTTTAATCTCTTATTAAACATTAATTGATTCAACAAGTGATCATATGTAGACTATTTGTTTACATCCCCACTTGGTAATCCTAACTGACCTAAAGCAGTCGAAGTTAAGCAGGAATTATCATTTGGTTTATGGGAAAACGGAAGAATTATTTATTTATCAAAAATGTTATGCATTCAAACACTAAAGTAATATTTTCACTATCAGAATATGAACAGTGCATTGTCTTCTTCTGGCCTAAGGAGATATGAACATCAGTACAGCTAATAAATAGTTGTTACATTAATCTTATAACACTTTATATGTTTGTGACAGCTATAACTAACATTGGCCTTGAGGTTGCACGTCTGACTCCAGGGAAAGTTTTTTGTTGTTTGTCCAACTGAGAACTTGGAAATTGGTTATGATGGTGAGATCAAATTTGGGTTTTACTCTGAACCTAATCCAGATGTTGATCTGTTGTTACAGGGATTCGATACAAAAACAGAAATTTACTCGCTCCAAACACAAAACTATTCAACAAGTCGCAGACATACTTCGCTTAAATGTACATAATTATAATTTGTTTAATATTTTTTTCTGTAGGTTTTGACAGACTTAAGTCATTTATAGAGTGAGAATGGTGCAAAAAGTGGAGGTTATTAGTTTATAAATGTAAAATATGCACCCCATCATTGTCTCCATGCTCACGTGGTCTCAGGTGCACAAAGATATCAGTTAAAGAAAAACAATTCCCTTCAGTCAAAAATTTTTTGCTTTACAGGTTAATGGTTCTTAGTTGTGAAATTTACGCTTGAAATCTTGATTGGAGCTTTTTTTTCCATCTCTCTGTTGTCGGAGATGAAGGAATAATTTGAGACGTTATTCATTCTGTTTAAAGCTCTAACAATTGAGAACAAATTTCTACCATATTCGGAGGGGTTTGATTTAAGATTTTGCTTTGTTATGTTTGTACGTGCTTTAAAAAAAACTATTTAATCGAGTGTCATTGTTTCCATGACCCCTCTGGAGGTGCAGCTGCAAAGGTTGGCGTGTTGCTTTGGCTGAATCAAGCTACTTGAATGTTGTTTGTGGTAACAAGCATACCTTCTGCTTCTGCACAACAGGGTTTTCAAAATAAACATACTTTGCTGCCATGCATTGCACACGAAGTAACAATTATAACAAAACTGAGATACACCAGCATATTTAAGTTAAACATTAGCCCTCAGCTGAAATGTTACAGATTAGGGCAAAAATTATATTTTAGATATATTTATTTGTCTAAACCATGGAGCTTACGAGGTACAGATGTCCTGTAATATGCAATACATGCCTTGGGCAGATTGGATTTACACAGCAACGCACTAAGGCTGAAATCTGATTGGACAAAAAATATAGGAACCACGTAAATTAAGAGAACGGATTGTTTGGAATAAATTAATACAGTTGATCTGCACTGGAAATGGGATCCTACTCTACTTCCAGTGGCTAACTTTTTCGGCTTTGGATTTAAACATAAATCTAGTTTTTTTGAGTTTTATGTTTTCGTTTCGTTTTTATCTTATGCTATATAGTGCGTAAACTAAAAAAGGAAACAACCAAAATGCAGATAAGCATGGTTTAATCATATTTTGCCGGACTTCTCTGAGCATGCCTGATGATGAAGTCAGAGAAGCAGTTTAACGGAGAAAATGTAAAAAGCATAAACATTGTCTCACAGAAGTTATAAAACCTTTTTTAAAGATGTGTATTCTTTGGTAAGTTAAGGATAGAAATATGTAGTTCTAGGCCATAATTACATTATTTATGATATATCTGTTCGTGCATGAGCAGAGCGGATTGTGCTTCCCGGGACGGATCGGGTGGTGACGTACATGATACACACATATGCACTGGTCAAATTTTCTTCACACCTTGCGACAAAAACATAATGGCAAAGAAACTAGATCTGAATGATTTCTGTTGAATTTTATTTTCTTTTTTTTTTTTTATGTATTAAACATGAATATAAAGTCAATTTAGGAAGGATTGTATCAGTAATACCAGGTTATGTCTCCTCTAAAGAAACATGTTTAGGTTTGATTCAGTTGATCCCTGTAAATGCTCAAAGTAAATATTTATTCACGATTACAATAAGCTGCCTGTGTTATCTGAAGGAAGATTGTTGTTTCTTTCATATTAGAGTCAATTGATAAAATGTGTTTGATTAATGACCCCTCTGGGAAACGACTCTCCCTGTTCCTTCTAACGTTGAGTCAAAGGGGAGCTTAGACTCTTGTTAGGACCAAGCTGAGCATCAGCACGTCAGCTGAAAGGTGCAGGTGACTCTGAAATCAATGAGATAGCAGGCATGTGAATCAATATACATAAATTAATGCAGTTGACTGCTTTCTCTCTCTGTCTGCGTCTCTGTCACCCTCTCACTCATTGACTTCCTCCCCTCCCTTCTGTTTTTCTTTTTTCCCTCAGTCTCTGCTGGAGTGGAAGAAGTTTGCTGTATTTGTGACGCCCCGCCTCTTAAAGAACACCTCATAAATTGTCTTAAATGTCGCCACGGTAAGGAAGCCTGCCTCATCATGCTCTGTCAAACGCTCCTTCTCCCTTAGAGGCTGTTGTGACCTTGAAGAGTTGACACAGGATGGTAAATAACAACACAAGAAGGCCTCTTATCATAAATTATGGCGAAGAGTTGCCACATCTGCACTCAGAGGAAGGAAATAAGACATCAGCAGATAGAGGTTATAGATTTACATCCTACAAAATGTCCTCATTTTTTATTTCTTCTAATTGAAAGGTTAAAAAAAACAATTAAAAGACAAGGAAATGATTTCTTAATGTGATAGAATACATTAAAATTAGAGATGGGCTGATGCTGATAGCCAATATTTTGTGATTAGCTGCGCTGCCGATTGCTTGAGCTGATTCTCTAGGCAAATATTGTCAATCCCTTTATTTGTCTCAGAACGGGGAAATTAACTCTGCATTTAACCCATCCCCTTGGGGAGCAGTGGGCTGCCATTGTGCAGCATCCGGGGTGCAGTGTGTGTCATGATTAACAAAAAATGAGACCCAAATGCAGAGAAACCACTACAGAGAGACCAGGGAAAAAGGTTTAACAGGTTTTATTGAAGAGAAAATGAAAAGAGCAGTGTTGCTCTGAACTCTGCTCAACCGGAACTGAAAAGTGAGGTGAAGACACAGCGATTAGTTCAGGCTCAATGGGAAATTTCATTTGTGAACTTGGAGAAGAGGATATGGATGCTGACTCACGTTTCCAGAGAAGTTGTTGTATCTTAGACTCCAGTCTGTATGCTGTTGTTCCAGTGTTTGTCTGATTGGGTGGAGGGCGGAACAGGGTTTACCCAGAACGAGGTCGTTTGTAGGTGAACGGAGAAACTGACTTCCACTCAGATTTCCTGCGGTACTTGAACGGGTCGTAGTGGAGATGGTTCCTTTGCTCAGTGTGTAAACTCAACGTCCTCCTTGGGAAAGTGGGTCCAAACCTCCAGTTTGAATCCCCAGCTCAGTTTGAGGCTCAATTGATCCTTCCAGGGAGTGAAGGTCCGAAAGATCCAGTTTTCAGGATGTCCTCCTGCCGAGAGGCAAAGACAAAAAACAATGTTTAAACTCAGGTTGACAAGAACTCAGACTTACTCAGCAAAAACTCAGCTTGGTTAGAGTACCCAAAACTGGCAAACACTCTGGCGCCGAGGTAGTGGCAGTCAGCAGCTTAAGAGCACTCCGTTAACGAGGTAACCAACAGCAGGTGTGTGTGGAGGCGGACCGGAACCAGGCGCCTCCTGTTGGAGGAAGGGAGACAAACACAAAAAACAAACACACAGACTGGAGCCCTGACAGTGTGGGGTTAAGGGTCTTTGCTCAGGGACCCAGAGTGGCAGTCCGTGGGAGCGGGGCTTGGACTCAGAACCTCTGGATTCCAAGCGCAATACCCTAACCACTAGGCCACCCCTCCCCTATTTTGCTTCTTCTTCCTCTGTTTACATGATAGAAAAAAAACAATGATAAGAAATTTCTCAAATTGAATCTTTAATTTAATTTTTGAGAGTCTCTATATTAACGATATTAACGATCAATAGATCACTGATACCTTGACCTTCCAGGTTTTCTCCAGCTCTTCTCTGAGCCCCTGGCATTTCTCTAGTTTCTCATGTTCTTTTTCCTGATGTTGCAGTCACTTGGTATTGCTGTGTCAACCACAATTGCTTTCCTGTGCTTTTTGTCCACCACCACAATGTCCGGTTGGTTTGCCATTACCATTCAGTCCGTCTGTATTGTAAGTCCCATAGGATCTTGGCTTGGTCATTCTCTGTCACCTTTGGAGGTGTTTCCCACGTTGACCATGGGGTTACCAGCCCTTACTCTGCACAGATGTTCCTGTATACTATTCCAGCCACTTGGTTATTGCCCTCCATATAGGCTGTCCCTGCTCGCATCTTTCACCCTGCAGTTATGTGCTGGATTGTCTCAGGCACCTCTTTGCACAGTCTGCACTTGGGGTCTTGTCTGGTGTGGTAAATCTGGGTCTCTGTTGCTCTGGTGCTTAGGGCCTGCACTACTCAAAACAATTAAAGGAACACTTTGTAATCAGAGTATAGCATCAAGTTAATTAAACTTCTGGGATATTGATCTGGTCAGGTAAGTAGCAGAGGGGGTCGTTAATCAGTTTCAGCTGCTTTGGTTTTGATGAAATCATCAACAGGTGCACTAGGGGCAACAATGAGACGACCATCAAAACAGGAATGGTTTTACAGGTGGAGGCCAATTACATTTTTTCCCCTCCTCATCCTTTCTGACGCGCTACCTGGACCCTACAGAGGTTGCACAGGCTGTCCCACTCCTCCAGGATGGATATCTATATATCTATCTATATACACTGCTCAAAAAAATTAAAGGAACACTTTGAAACCACATCAGATCTCAATGGGGAAAAAAATCATGCAGTTTATTTATACTGATATGGACTGGGTGATGTGTTAGGAACAAAAGGATGCCACATCATTTGATGGACATGAAAAGGATCAACCTACAGAGGACTGAATTCAAAGACACCCCAAAAAATTACAGTGAAGAAATTATGCGACAGGCTAGTCCATTTTGCTGAAATATCATTGCAGCAACTCAAAATGGTATTCAGTATACATACCTGACAGGGCATGCTCCTAATGAGACTCCGGATGGCAACCTGGGGTATCTCCTCCCAGATCTGGACCAGGGCATCAGTGAGCTCCAGGACAGTTTGAGGTGCAACCTGGTGGCGTCAGATGGATCAAAACATAATGTCCCAGAGGTGTTCTATTGGATTTAGGTCAGGCGAGCGTGGGGGCCAATCAATGGTATCAATTCCTTCATTCTCCGGGAACTGCCTGCATACTCTCGCCACATGAGGCCGGGCATTGTCATGCACCAGGAGGAACACAGGACCCACTGCACCAGCATAGCGTCTGACAATGGGTGCAAGGATTTCATCCCGATACCTAATGGCACTCAGGGTGCCGTTGTCTAGCCTGTATAGGTCTTTGCGTCCCTACATGGATATGCCTCCCCAGACCATCACTGACCCACCACCAAACCGGTCATGCTAAACGATGTTACAGGCAGCATAACATTCTCCACAGCTTCTCCAGACCCTTTCATGTCTGTCACATGCGCTCAGGGTGAACCTGCTCTCATCTGTGAAAAGCACAGGGCGCCTGTGGCGGACTCGCCAATTCTGGTGTTCTGTGGCAAATGCAAATTGAGCTCCATAGTACCGGGCAGTGAGCACAGGGCCCACTAGAGGACGTCGGGCCCTCAGGCCACCCTTGTAAAGTCTGTTTCTGATTGTTTGGTCAGAGACATTCACACCAGTGGCCTGCTGAAGGTCATTTGTAGGGCTCTGGCAGTGCTACTCCTGCTCCTCCTTGCACAAAGGAGCAGATACCGGTCCTGCTGATCGGTTGTAGACCTTCTACGGCCCTGTCCAGCTCTCCTGGAGTAACTGCCTGTCTCCTGGAATCTCCTCTATGCTCTTGAGATTGTGCTGGGAGACACGGCATACCTTCTGGCAATGGCACGTATTGGTGTGCCATCCTGGAGGAGTTTGACTGCCTGTGCAACCTCTGTAGGGTCCAGGTAGCGCCTCATGCTAACAGAAGTGAAAGTGACACTAGCCAAATGCAAAACTGGTGAAAAAGAGTCAGAAAAGATGAGGAGGGAAAAAAATGTCAGTGTCCTCCAGCTGTAAAATCATTCCTGTTTTGATGGTCGTCTCGTTGTTGCCCCTCTAGTGCACCTGTTGTTGATTGCATTAACACCAAAGCAGCTGAAACTAATTAACAACCCCCTCTGCTACTTACCTGACCAAATCAATATCCCAGAAGTTTAACTGACTATACTCTGATTACAAAGTATTCCATAATTTTTTTGAGTAGTGTTTATATATATATATATATATATATGTATATATATATGATGTGATTAAATACGTTAAAATAATATAAGTAATTATTCACCACCTCACTTTTTTGTGTATATCACCATCAGATCGTCACACAAAGGTTTAAGTTTCATATTAAACTAAATAAATTATAGAAGTTGAAATAACCTTCATAGCAGAGGTCGACAAACGGATATCAGCGTAAGTACTCTCTGGATAAAAGGAATGTCTTACATCATCGTCAATATGTGTCTGTGATGAAGGTGAGTCTCTGTGTGAGAAGGTGTTTTGTTCCTGAGGTGTTTTGTTCCTGAATGATGGCAGAAACCTCAGATGGATAGAACATGGATCTGGTCTGTAATAATAAAGGAAGTGCTGAGCTTGAAAGACTTACTGATACATCTGACTGGTCTGTCTAGCGTTTATTCAAACCCCTCCCCTGTGGTCGTGCAGTATGACAATGGTTTAAAATGAGCTTTCTCTGCAGTAGATATGGAGAGGAGCTTCTCCAAACAAGTAGAGCTTGAAGTCCCAGTGCCTTTAAAGGTGTCAGACCCTGCAAACACCCCCTCTTACATGCAAATGCAACAGTTCAATGTTTTTGCACACTTTTAAAACAAACGAAAAGAAGTAGTGAGGAAATGTAGCAGACCTGTCATTACTGTCATTCGAGCTGTCTGTGCTGCAAAGACGATTTAAACGCTCTGCCTCCTCCTTATATTACAGGTTATCATCCAGAGTGCCACACGCCGACCATCGAGCCAGAAGCTGACAGCGACTCCTGGATTTGTCGACAATGTGTCTTTGCAGTCGCAACCAAGGTCAGGCTGCTAATCTCTCTCTGTCTCACATTTTTCGGGCTAAAAAAAAAAAAAAAAGGAAAACAATTTATTTCCATCCACTTGGTAACGTGTGCAGTGAAAGATCTCACTGATTTTCTCAGTATTGACCTCGATCTGTTCTACGCCATGTCAGAGAAATTGTGAGGAGTCAATATTTATGATGCTTCAGTGGCGCTGCGAGGATCACATTAAAAATAAATCCATTACATTTGCTCCATTTCTATAGATCTGGGAAAGAACTCAGTTTATTATCAGTGGCTCAGGCTTGCAGAGGCCATTGTCCAGATCTTGCGGCGTCTCAGACTCCATCTTTCACAGCTGACCTACAATGAAATGAGACAAAAAGCCATTTTCTCATCAGACATGATCTGCTTGCTGATATGGAAGTGATGTTCTCTATCCTGAAACTGTTTCTGCAGAGAGGCGGTGCTCTCAAACGAGGACGCTTCGCCCGGCTCATGCAGTTCATGAAACTCCGGCTCCCCTACCAGCTCTCGTCCTTAGACTGGGACCCTCAGCATCTGACCAATCAGCAGCAGTGTTACTGCTACTGCGCCGGACCTGGAGAGTGAGTGGAGCACCTTGCACATTGATTTGTACTTAAAATAAACATTTTCTCCTTTTTTTTAAAAACCTTTAGAATAAATGAAAGCAACATAATCTCACACTCAACATTTAAAGAACAGTTTTCTAGTATTCTATATTATACTTCTATGCTATACTCTGCGTCATGCATTAAAACTGTGTAATGCACAATCCTTATATATGTATGTTTATTTTATTTTTTTTACACGTTCTGCCATTTAAAATGTTTTAAATAAGTCTCCCATTAAATAACAAAAAAATATATTTTATCTACAAACATGCATTTATTTATTCATCTGACACATTATTAAAATATTAGATCAACAAAATTATAAAATGCACAATTAAATAACTAAAAGTTCCATTGGATTATGAACAATTATTAAACATTTTTAATGAAACAATTTCATGCTATTCTAATGCATTTATTTATTTATCTAATACGTGATTGAAATATTATACACTGTGAAATAATAAAACACGCATTTACGGTGGCCCTGAAGTGCAAACTGCAACTACAAATCTAAAAGCGCAACTACATTAAGGAAATCGCAACTGCATAAAGCAAAGCACAACTACATTAAGGAAAACACAATTACATTAACCTACCGGAAAAGGTAGGTACCAGTGGGAAACATGAGACATCGCTGATTGGACGACGGGGCCGTTTGACCCTTGAACCGGAAGTCATTCTGCCTGCTGCAGCTTTTGAAAACATCGATATTGTCGGCGCCCCAAACATAGCTGCCGTTATCCAGGAATATTTTGAATCAGGACATACGTACGAGGTGATACTGGATATGCTCAAGACTAATCACAAAATTTCAGTTTGTTTGCGTACACTGAAGACACACTTAAAAGAAGCTGGACTGTTCAGACGACGCAACTTCCGGTTCAAGGGTCAATTAGGTCTCATGTTTCCCACTGGTACCTACCTTTTCCGGTAGCTTAATGTAATTGTGTTTTCCTTAATGTAGTTGCGCTTTGCTTTATGTAGTTTTGTTTTCCTTAATGTAGTTGCGATTTCCTTAATGTAGTTGCGCTTTTAGATTTGTAGTTGCAGTTTGCACTTCAGGGCCACCGTACGCATTGAATAATATTTAACTAAATAATTACATAATTTAAATTATGAGTATAAGTGAAATAATTAAATGTTGTTTAAAAATATATTTCGCTAATAATGTTAAAATAAATTAAGACTAAAAGAGTTAGATGTATTGTTAGTGGTCAGCAATGTATGGGATTGTTGTTTTGGGGCCATAACATGAAATGTTTGGGAACCCTTGATTTAGAGCCTCAGTTCCTCTCTGATGCTCTCCTATCTTCAACTCACCCCACAGCTTTTCTTTAGGATGTTGGTCTGGAGAACGAGACGGTCGTTCAAGGATATTCATTTTGTTTCTGGTGAAGCCATTCCAAAATAGTTTAAAAAATTTTTTTAAACAAACCACTGCACTTTGTTTTCCGAGCGTGAAAGGACTATGGAATGACTTTGACCTGGATGACTGAGAATCTTCACCAGCACATTCTGGTGAAGAAATTCCGTGTCCAACCGGATCTACTATCTGTTGAAAGGGAGGATCTAATGATGAACCACACAATGTGAGCTTATTCCACTGAAATGAGGGATAAGTGTAGGAATTTTTAGGCTTTTTCTACATTAAAATTTAAAATACAAAATGTTTTGTCTAAGCACAACTAGTATTCTATATTATACTTCTATGCTATACTCTGCGTCATGCATTAAAACTGTGTAATGCACAATCCTTATATATGTATGTATATACATGTTTTGCCATTTAAAATGTTTTAAATAAGTCTCCCATTAAATAACTAAAAATTACATTTTATCTAAAAACATGCATTTATTTATTCACCAGACATTATTGAAATATTAGATATACAACAAAATTATACATACATTAACTGGTGACAAAAGTTAATGTATGTATCTCTAACCTTACATCTTGTGATGTAACTGTGATTACTTATTTATAATTTTTTATATTATATATATTTTTCATTTTTTGTAATTGACACAACAGTGAGTTATAGTTTAGATTTAAGAAATGAGAGGTACCCTATGCATTATCAGAGAAACATTTTAAAGCAAAATAATTTCCTTCATATCGGCCAAATATCCAAATCATCCTTAACAGTAGGTAATTTTGTTTTGTTTTTCCATTGGTATTTGTTTTTTTTACACATATATTTTAAAGGAAAAAAAAAAATTCAGTTTATTTATATATCACCAATTCACAACACGTCAAGGGACTTTACAAAGTTAATTCAACCAGATCATACAGTCAGATTGATTCAAAGTTTCTATTTAAGGAAAACCAGTGATTGCTTCGAATCATGCACTGAGATTGCTTTGGCAGCAATCTATGGTGTTGTGTTAATTCTAAATGAACAAGTCACTTCCCTTTAATACATCTCAACCAATTCCCTTCAAAATTATTTGATCAATTAAAACTCAGGGGGAGCTTATGAGTAAAAGACAAACCCCCTTGATTCGACCCATATGAGGGTCTCTTTGCCCTGATTGCTCTCTGTTTGATATATCACTGATGATGTAGTTTGCGCATGAATCAGAGCATAGAAACATGAGGTAGGGTTCTGCATTTTGAGAATTGTATTGCTCCTGAAATTTTGAATTTCTCTGAAATCTTTAAGTTTTTCTCTGAAATCTTTAGGAAGAATACGCACACAACCCATTTGAACCATTCAGTTAGGGCTGGGCGATATAGAAAAAAAGCTTATCTATAAAAACAAAATGCATATTGATCGATATAGATAATTATTGAAAAAATTTGAAACCATATTTTATGTGCAGCTCTGCCTGGGCATTTTATGATATTGCTAAATGATTTGATTTTAATAAAGAACACAAACACAGACTTCCAATTAAATCTTTATTTAACCGACTTTTTTAACCATAACAGAATTGTTTTAAAGAAAAATAACTTAAGAGACCTGAGTTATGTTATTAAATACTCACAAAGAATAAACTAAAGTGACCAGAAAAGTGACAAAAATAAATATAACAAATAAATAAATGGACACAACACCACACCCAAACCACCACCCCCCCACCCCCCGCCGCCACACGCATTCTTATCGCCCAGCCCTACATTCAGTGCCACCAGGGGAGCAGATGATATCTGGAAAACACTTTTTCTCTCATTTTGATTTATTCTTGACCATCTTTCGAATATGGGTCTCTCATTACAACCAAAATTAAATTAAAATTGAGTTTTTCCTCTCCACTGTCCCTACAAGCATGCTTAGTGTGAGGGATTGCCTTCGAGTCAATGAGTCGATGCAATCAACTGCTTTTCCTTAGATAGAAAACTTGGAATCAATTTGACTGGATGATCTGGTTGAACTGTAAAATGCCTTGAGATGACATGTGTTGTGAATTGGCGCTATATAAATAAACAGAATTGAATTGAATTACACAAGATAACATAAAACAATGTGTTTTTGTTAATTAACCTTTGTGACCTCAAGCCTAATTTAATGTTAGGATACCCACTGTCACTGGTAAACTTAAATTGATTTATTCCGTAACAATCATGTTAAATTAAACATGCTAATATGCACATTTTTCATGTAGCATTTACACCATTCATGTCTGAATTCAGTTCATGAGGGCCTCTGTGCTGTGAGATTTTTTCTGCTTAAACATAGTTGATTCTGATTAATGCAGCTCAGCAGCAGCCTGTTAATCAGCTATCAATGGAAATCAGCCGTAGTGAAGCAAAAAAAACCTTGAAAACCTGCAGGACAGTGGCCCTCAAGGACTGACCTTGGATATGCCTGATCTACAACATATGATTAAGTTATATAAGTACGTAAAAGAATCATTTGAATTAACAATATAGGCTTTGATTGATCCAACTGATGCAATTTGTTTTTGTCTTCAGTCATTATATCTACAAAATATTATAACCTTTTCTTTAAGACATCAAGCAAGTAATAAAGTAACTAAAGACGCTTCAAAGATACAACAGATTCTAGATATACTTTTCAGTAGTCTTATTGAAAAAAAATTCGAAAGAATTAAGAGATAGATGAATACTTGTGATGGGTATTCACCAAGCTTCATGGCTCATGGGTTTGTTGATGCCGTTTTGTTGTCATTGGTCTGCAGGTGGAACCTAAAGATGCTGCAGTGTGGCAGCTGTGGCCAGTGGTTCCATGAGGCCTGCACACAGTGTCTGTTAAAGCCGTTGCTGTATGGAGACAGGTATTTACACCTTGGGGCTGACACACACCCATATTTGTTCTTCTATATGTAGTTTGAGCAAGACCCTTAAAGAAGCTCCAAGCTGCCCGGTTCTACCAAAATAATAACAGATCAAATCATTTCCAATAGGTTTTAAAGCCTCTGCAGTCTAAATAGTCGTGGCTCCTACTACACATCCGCAGGCTTCTCTACAGCAGTAGTAGCTTCTCTGATAATAGTTGTTCTCTATTTTTTATTACTTTTCTTTGTTTTGTTATGATGTGGTCATGACACCGTCAGCTCCCTTCCCTCAACAGCTTCATAATAACTCAGAGACACCAGCATCCACTATTACTTGTGTTTTTTCAGCTATATTGAACACTTCTAGTGACTGTCACATCTAACGGTCCTGAACCGTCCAGATCGAAGCCCGACGGCGGCTGCATTGAATTAGTCGTATAACAGAATCAGATTTCAGCACAGAAAGACCTGCTTTTTGAAGGCAGCCTTAGAGTATCTAAAATATATAAACAAAAAAACAGAAACATTTGCATTAAAGATAAACAAAAATAAAATTAAAATAGAGCATTATGTGCGATATTTTCATCTTTTTCTTCGAATTGGCCAATGCATACATGCATTAAAAGGTTCCTGATCTCATTCAGCAGCCATGCCTTGAGATCAGGTAAGACACACATTGCTCTATTAGAATTTTATATTATTAATGTTTTCTTTAATTTCTTATAGTTTTTTTTATATAAAAAAGTATATATAACTATATATAACATTTGTTATTATTGGCATTTTTATCATATAAATGGAAGAAGAGAGGGTAAATACACTTAATCTAAGACATTTTTTTATGTATTTCTAGATTGTTTTTCCAGGGTTGGTCTAGTTGTTAGGACATAGAGCTTAAAATCTTGAGGTTCTGAGTTTGAGCCCCACTCCCACAGACTGCCACTCTGGATCTCTGAGCAAGACCCTTAACCCCACACTACTCCCCGGGTGCCGCACAATGGCAGCCCACTGCTCCCCAAGGTAATGGATTAAATGCAGAGCTAAATTTCTCCAATGTGAGATCAATAAAGTTCAGTTATTATTATTATAGATCATGTTTCCATATCTGGATTTAACAAGCCGTCTATTTTCTGATTCTGACCGATGGTCATGAGGTATAGATCATGACCAAAAGATCTTAGATAAAATGAACCCAAATTAGCTTCTTGCAGAGGATGGCTGGACTGAGAAAGAGTCCATCATCCAGGGAGAAAAGAAGGAAAGAAAGAGCTGCTGCCTTTTTGCATCAAAAGGTGTCAGTCAGAAGGTTCAGACATATAATCCGGAGACCCTCTGGGCTCTAATTGTCCTGATGGATGGATTATACTGGGGGAAATTATTTCAAAATGATTCATCATTGTCTAAATATTTACATCACCAAAAAGTGCCCCTTTTTTACAAGGGGGATGGAGAGGTAACGATACAGGAAGGCAAAACTTTAAAAGTTGCTGGAAACATTAACTCTTAATTATTTTCATCCACAAAACAAACTATGACTCAGAGTCCATAATTGGACCGTTAATCATGGAGTAAGATGCTGGTCTGAGCAAAACAGAATGCATCAATATGTCTCTGGGAGAGCTTCACTTGTCAAAGAGCCATCTTAATTACCTATAGATGAAATGATTAGTGTGTTTACATGTTAATGTTCACAGTGACAGAAAACAGCTCCATTTAAAACCCTCCGTTCCATGTGTGAAATGGCATCCATCCATTTAAGTTATCATTATAATTACCCCTCTTTGTTTGCTTTTTTTCTTACACTAAACTGTGTGAGAGAAGGGAAGAAATTGAGACTGACAGAATGGGTGGAACATCTGCAAAGCAAGTGATGGAGGAGGAGGGAGGACAGAGTTCACAGCTGGAATAGTTAGCAAGTTGTTACAAGTCAGAGTTTTAGAGCAGAACGGTATTAGACTTAGACTCAACTTTATTTATCCCTTGGGATTACTATTTTAGGGAAATTCTGGTTCCAGTAGATCAGATTAAAAGTCAGCAGGTTTCCAAATAAAGAAAATCATCAACCAGAAAAGGTCCGGAGGCATTTTTAATTAGAATCTGTTACTTTAAACAGAATTTATCACTGAAGTAAAAAAGTATAATAAAAATGTTTATGCGTCCATGTTATACATTGAAAAAAAAAATTATATATATATATATATATATATATATATATATATATATATATATATATATATATATATATATATATATATATATATATATATATATATATATAAAATAAAAAAAAATTCTAGTTTAAAAACTGTTTTTTGAAGTAGAGAACAACAATTATTCAGTTTGGTATATAGACAATTTCCTGATTCACATAGTTTATAAAACAAGCAGGTTGAGCCAAACATCCTCTAAGTGTGCAGGGTCATCTTTGAGCACGCCATTTCACTTCTCTTTCAGCAGTTCACCGCAGTTCTTCCAGCAGTCCACACTTTCTCTGCTCTCTTTTTCTCTTCGTCTTCTCCTTCTTCCCCATCGCCCAGCTTGGCAAAGGTTTGCCTGCTGTGCCTAAAAGTGGCTCGCAAGTGAAATTACATGCGGTAATTTATAAATGTTTTAAATCAGGTTGGGTCCAGATTAGTCAGCAGGTGGGTCCGGATCCAGACAGCGGCCCACTGCAGTAGGTTATATAGAGTACAAAGAGTTAAAGCAAGATGCCATTAAAGATAAAAATATGAATATATAAAAAGAGTCTATATAGTACAAAAAAGAATAAAAAAAAAAGTTCTAATGCCCTAGAATATGTTTCGTTTAGATATAAAAATATCTGCAAAGTAGAGAGCTAAGGAAAGACTACACAGTAGTCGACTTGGATTATTGCACTTGTATTACAGAGATATACTGACCTTATAAATAAGAAAAAATTACAAAGGCGACACAATTTTTAGATTGGGTTATTGCACAGTGAGAGGGAAGAATATTGCACATGAGTGACAATAGTTAATGTTTTGCATAAGATGTCCAAGGAGGGGGGTGATGACCCTTGTCCCTCTTCCTATCACCCCCTCCTTCCCCCAAGAGAGGAGCTGTACAGCTTTATAGTTTGGGGAACAAAGGAGTTCAGCAGTCTGTTGGTCCTGCATTTTGGGAGGAGCAATCTCCCACTAATCAGGCTCCTCTGAGAGGTGAAGACAGTGTGCAGAGGGTGGCTGGCATTGTTCATAATGTCCAGCAGTTGTTAAGTGTTAATTACTTTAAATCTAAGACAGTTTTGCCAGTTTGCTGTTTGGTAAAGGCAAGGCAAGGCAAATTTATTTGTATAGCACAATTCAGTACAAAGAGAATGCAAAGTGCTTTAAATGATTAAAATACAGGAAGATAAAACAGAATCAAAGCAAGTAGGAAAAAAAAATAATAATAATAATAATGCAGAAACAAAAAAGAATATTAAAAACAGTTGGACTAAAGAAAATATGTTTTAGTTGAACTGTTTAACTAGATCAGTCGAAGGCAGTCCTAAACAAATGTGTTTTTAGTCTTGATTTAAAGGAAATCAGGCTTTCCGCACTTTTTCAGTTTTCTGGAAGTTTGTTCCAGATAAGTGGAGCATAGGAACTAAATGCTGCTTCTCCATGTTTAGTTCTGGTTCTAGGTCTGCAGAGCAGGCTGGAGCCAGAAGACCTGAGTGGTCTGGAGGGTTGATACACTGATAGCAAGTCTGTTATGTATTTATGTGCTAAGCCATTCAGGGATTTATAGACTAACAGAAGTATTTTAAAGTCTACATTGCAAAAAATGTAAATGTCAATAAGTCATTTTTTCTTAAAGTAAGTGCTTTTTCTCTTGAATTGAGGAGGTAAATGCCAATCAAACAAGACAATTTACATTTAAAATAAGAAAAAACAATTGCATTGTCTTATTTCAAGTGCATATTATCTAATTATCTTATTTTAAGAGTAAAAATGCCCATTCCATTGGCAAATTATCTCATTTACCTACTCAAATTACAGCTAAATACACTTAATTGCAGACATTTTTACTTATTTCTTGATTGTTTTTGTAGTGTATTCTCTGAGATACAGGGAGCCAGTGTAAGGACTTTAGAACTGGGTTGATGTGCTCTACTTTCTTAGTCTTAGTGAGGACACAGGCAGCAGCGTTCTGGATCAGCTGCAGCTGTCTGATCCACTTTTTAGGCAGACCTGTGAAAACACTGTTGCAGTAATCAATTCAACTAAAAATAAACGCATGGATTAGTTTTTCCAGATCATGCTGAGACATTCGTCCTTTAATGCTGGAAATGATAAGATTATATAACTGAGAAAAACAAAACAAAAAAGATTTCATCCATGTGTTTATTTCAGGTTTTATCAGTTCCAGTGTTCAGTCTGCACAAAGGGACCAGAGACCGTCCAGAGGTTACCCATGACCTGGTTAGCAACACATTTCATTTCAACGACACCATTTCTGCAGAGATAAAGTTGGAAATATTTTTCTGTGCAAACTAACAAAGTGTTTTCATTTAACTGCAGGGTGGACTTGGCTCATTTGGTGCTCTACCACCTCTCGCTGTGCTGTAAGAGGAAATACTTTGATTTCGACCATGAAATCCTGTCCTTCACCAACGAGAACTGGGACTCGTTGCTCCTGGGCGCGGTATTGATATTTCCCTGTTTAAGCACAATGATGAAATGATGTGAAATACTTGCAGGCTTCCCGTTTTCTTTTTCCGCGTTAGATATTTAAACCTCATTAAGCGACACTAAAGTAGGATTTAATGTTTGACCTCTGAGGGGGACAAAGCAGAGCCAAACTATTTAGACCTTTGATGATCAACTGTTAGTGTGTTCTAGAAATTCCTCCTTATTTCACTGAAATGACCCTGAGCATCTGAGTGTTTCTGCTGGTTATTAGTTCTTAGAGATGTTTATCCAGTATTTGAGATGTAGATGTGCTGCATTCAGCTGATTTTTTTTATTGCATATTAAGTATTTATTTAACGTTTTATTCGTTTTGCAAACATCAACAAATCGTTTAAACCGTTTTTTTGTTTTTGTGCTTTTGCAATCAAAAACTGTAATGCACTTTACAGGGATTTTTTTTTTTTTTTTTTTAATTTTCCAGATGAATATACAAAAATTAACATAAAAGAACAAATCCCCACCTTTCCCTTACCCTCCCAGAACAGCACATCATAGAACACTTTCACAGTCAAAACAACATGATGGAAACACCATACATTGATCCAAAGCATTCCACAAGCAAGAAAAAAAAGGAAAGTTATACAGGGTATTAAAGGAGTAGTACACCCAAAACATGATTAGCCTTCATTTTCTACTCCCCCCCATGCTGAACAACACCCTGGAGTACTTTTTTGATATCTCAAATGCATCTGGAGATCTGGGAGGCTTCTTGCTGTCTGCTGACATTCAAATAATGGAGGTCTATGGTGCCCGAGACAGAAAGGTCCATAAAAGTCCACAAAAAACGTGTCAATATTCCTCCATACTGCTCGTCCAATGTATTCCAAGTGTCCTGAGTGGGTAGCATCCAGAATTTACTCGAAACAAAGTCATTTAGAATGTTTTTAGAGCATAAACAGTAGTGTATAGGGTTTCCTAAAAGCGCGCGCCTGCGCGTTCATGACGCTACGGAAGCCGGCAGACCAAACCAGATGAAAGTGCGCATTCAGCGTCTGCTCTGCCGATAATGCAAGCATAGGAGAAGAAATGTGCTGTTTACCTGTGCAAAGAAAGAAACAACGAAAGAAAAATGTCTGAGGACTTCAGTGTTGAGGAAGAGCATGAGTTCTTTGCTGAGCTGAATGCGCACTTTCATCTGGTTTGGTCTGCCGCGGTTTCCGTAGCGTCACGAACTCGCCAGCGCGCGCTTTCAGGAAATCCTATACACTACTGTTTATGCTCTAAAAACATTCTAAATGACTTCGTTTCAAGTAAATTCTGGACGCTACCCACTCAGGACACTTGGAATACATTGGACGAGCAGTATGGAGGAATATTGACACGTTTTTTGTGGACTTTTATGGACCTTTCTGTCTCGGGAGCTATGGACCTCCATTATTTGAATGTCAGCAGACAGCAAGAAGCCTCCCAGATCTTCAGATGCATTTGAGATATCAAAAAAGTACTCCAGAGTGTTGTTCAGCATGGGGGTGAGTAGAAAATGAAGGCTAATCATGTTTTGGGTGTACTATTCCTTTAAGTAGTGACGAGTCAGTCGTAATCACTTTTTCATTGAAGGAATTTTAGTATAGGGTCCCATACTTTCTCAAACACATCACCCTTATCTTCGTTATAGTGTCTCAGTCTTTCCAGATGCAGAGTATTTGCTAGTTCTCCCAACCACTAATCAAATGAGGGCACAGAGTCTTTCTTCCAAAATCTTCAAAATCAATCTTTGAGCAATCACCGTACCAAACAAGACAGCCATTTTCTCACTTTTAGTAGCTGGTTGCAGAGCACTGGAGATCCCGATGATGTCAATAAGAGGATCTGGATCCCATCTTTTCCGAAAGCTGCTGCAAAAAAAAGAAAACATTTTCTTCCAGAATGAGTGCAGCTGAACACATGACCAGAAGGAGTGCGTCAGGTTACCGATTGCAACCCGACAACGATTACAAATCGGAGAAGAAAGAACGTGCTCAGTTTCTCCCTCGAATAATGGAGCCTATGTATAGTTTTGAACTGTATGAGATTGTGTCTGACATTGACTGAACAATATTGAATACTTTTCAAACCCTCCTCCCACAGATCTTCAGATAACTGTTGCCCCAACTCATCCTCCCGTGCCTTTTTAATCCTGGTTGTGTCTACGCATATACAGGTGCTGGTCATAAAATTAGAATATCATGAAAAAGTAGATTGATTTCAGTAATTCCATTTAAAAAGTGAAACTTGTATATTATATTCATACATTACATACAAACTCATATATTTCAGATGTTTATTTTGTTTAATTTTGATGATTACAAATGACAACAAATGAAAATCTCAAATTCATCATATCAGAAAATTAGAATATTGTGAAAAGGTTCAAAATTGATGGCCCCTGGTGCCACACTCTAATCAGCTAATTAACTCAAACCACCTGCAAAAGCCTTTAAATGGTCTTTCAGTCTAGTTCTATAGGCTACACAATCATGGGGAAGACTGCTGACTTGACAGTTGTCCAAAAGACGACCATCGACACCTTGCACAAGGAGGGCAAGACACAAAAGGTCATCGCTAAAGAGGCTGGCTGTTCACAGAGCTCAGTGTCCAAGCACATTAATAGAGAGGCGAAGGGAAGGAAAAGATGTGGTCGAAAAAAGTGTACAAGCAAGAGAGATAACCGCACCCTGGAGAGGATTGTGAAACAAAACCCATTCAAAAATGTGGGGGAGATTCACAAAGAGTGGACTGCAGCTGGAGTGAGTGCTTCAAGAACCACCACACACAGACGTATGAAAGACATGGGTTTCTGCTGTCGCATTCCTTGTGTCAAGCCACTCTTGAACCACAGACAGCGTCAGAAGCGTCTTGCCTGGGCTAAAGAGAAACAGGACTGGACTGCTGGTGAGTGGTCCAAAGTCATGTTCTCTGATGAAAGTAAATTTTGCATTTCCTTTGGAAATCAAAGTCCCAGAGTCTGGAGGAAAAGAAGAGAGGCACTTCATCCACGTTGCTTGAAGTCCAGTGTAAAGTTTCCACAGTCAGTGATGGTTTGGGGTGCCATGTCATCTGCTGGTGTTGGTCCATTGTGTTTTCTGAGGTCCAGGGTCAACGCAGCCACATACCAGGAAGTTTTAGAGCACTTCATGCTTCCTGCAGCTGACCAACTTTTTGGAGATGCAGATTTCATTTTCCAACAGGACTTGGCACCTGCACACAGTGCCAAAGCTACCAGTACCTGGTTGAAGGACCATGGTATCCCTGTTCTTAATTGGCCAGCAAACTCTCCTGACCTTAACCCCATAGAAAATCTATGGGGTATTGTGAAGAAGAAGATGCAATACACCAGACCCAACAATTCAGAAGAGCTAAAAGCCACTATTAGAGCAACCTGGGCTATCATAACACCTGAGCAGTGCCACAGACTGATCGACTCCATGCCACGCCGCATTGCTGCAGTAATACAGGCCAAAGGAGGCCCAACTAAATACTGAGTGCTGTACATGCTCATACTTTTCATGTTCATACTTTTCAGTTGGCCAACATTTCTATAAATCCTTTGTTTTTATTGGTCTTCAGTAATATTCTAATTTTCTGATATGATGAATTTGAGATTTTCATTTGTTGTCATTTGTAATCATCAAAATTAAACAAAATAAACATCTGAAATATATGAGTTTGTATGTAATGTATGAATATAATATACAAGTTTCACTTTTTAAATGGAATTACTGAAATCAATCTACTTTTTCATGATATTCTAATTTTATGACCAGCACCTGTATTGTTAAAGATCTTATAAAAGTCACTTTAAAAGTCGGGGGGCAGTGTCTCACTAAGTGAGACACTGCCCCCCGACTGACAGGATCAAAATTATTTATTTCCTCTAGAGTTTTTTACAGGGATTTTTTTTTGTTTTGTGGCAAAGTTGGAGGGAAAAGAAACAAGGAAACAGTTTTCACGTATTTTACAATCAAAAGTTTGGCCTGCATTTTAATTCCACCCTCCTGAATTAGTAGTTTGTAGAAGAACTTTTTACCTTTTTATCGTTCTTTCATTGTAAACATCCATTTCTTAAAGGTATAGTGGAGGATTTTCACAAATTTTTGAAAAGACCCACCCCCTCAAAAACAATATTTTATTTGCCACTTAAAACCCTTTTTAAATGTATCAAGGTTTGTTATTTTTTGACAAAAGATGAAAAATGTAATGAAAATGTCAATGTTTAGCAAAGATGTTTATTTTTTAGCAAACCAATAATTTGGACCACTTTTCAATGGCAATAATATTGAAATGATTTGCAAAGAACTGTGGCCTCAGTTTATTCATCAGCTTTTAAAGAACTTAAAGTAGTTTCTCAGTAGCTTTAAGTTCCTGAGATTTTCCTTACAGAAAGCTTAAAATATTGATGTTTAAATTTTTGATTCACTTAAAAAAAAAGAAAAATTCTTCTTCAGTTCTCCTTCATTATAGAAAATCTGCAGATGATCAACTGGATTGTTGGAACAGGTTGTTCTCATAGGACATGTTGATCCCAATGTTAGGACCATGTAGAAATCATAGCTCTATAAATATAAACTTTTTTAATATTTTTCTATAAACATTTAGAATGTTTTTAGAGCATAAACAGTAGTGTATAGGATTTCCTAAAAGCGCGCGCCTGCGAGTTCATGACGCTACGGAAACTGCGGCAGACCAAACCAGATGAAAGTGCGCATTCAGCTCGGCAAAGAACTCATGCTCTTCCTCAACACTGAAGTCCTCAGACATTTTTCTTTCGTTGTTTCTTTCTTTGCACAGGTAAACAGCACATTTCTTCTTCTACGCTTGCATTATCGGCAGAGCAGACGCTGAATGCGCACTTTCATCTGGTTTGGTCTGCCGGCTTCCGTAGCCTCGTGAACGCGCTTTCAGGAAATCCTATATACTACTGTTTATGCTCTAAAGACATTCTAAATGACTTTGTTTCGAGTAAATTATGGACGCTACCCACTCAGGACACTTGGAATACATTGGACGAGCAGTATGGAGGAATATTGACACGTTTTTTGTGGACTTTTATGGACTTTTCTGCCTCGGGCACCATAGACCTCCATTATTTGAATGTCAGCAGACAGCAAGAAGCCTCCCAGATCTCCAGATTAATTTGAGATATCAAAAAGGTACTCCAGAGTGTTGTTCAGCATGGGGGTGAGTAGAAAATGAAGGCTAATCATGTTTTGGGTGTACTATTCCTTTAAGGCTGTTTCCCCCCTCTGCCTGAAACTGGTGCTGGAGTGGAGATAGATCAAGTTGGTCAGTCTGTAGACTGCTGGTTGGAGAGACGGTTTGCTGAGCTTTATGGGGAGATCCAGTGGTCTGCGTGAGCTGATACTAGAGCTTCACTCAGAGACCTGGAAGATGGAAGTCCAGCTTGGATAACACAGGTTGAGAGAACCTGTCCATGATGAGCAAGCATGAAGCGACAGTGGAGAGGAAAAACTCCCCATTGGGAAGAAACCTCTGGCAGAACCAGGCTCAACAAGGCGGTCTTCTGCCAGACCGGTTGAAATGAGAAGCGGGATGCAGTAAGAGTCCTGGAGTAATGAAATAAAGCTTTGGCTACGATGATGGAGGAGGGGCTGGAGTTTGGTTGAAACGGGGTCATCTGCGCGTGTCCATCGTCTGCGCACAGGGGCACGCAATTGGATCAAAGGCCTTTTAAGATGAACTTTGGATGCCGAGTGATTTTCGTGGAGGAGTGATACAAAGCTGATTGGTCGCAGGGGGATGTAGGGGAGGAATCAGTTTCTTCAGTTGAACCTCACCTAGGCTCCATAAACTTTAAAGTAACCAAGGATTAGCTCAATTTGAGCCATAATGAATTATTTTCAGATCAATAATGAGCACCTGGGGATGTGATGCTCCCTGTAAGCTGCTCTTTTCCAAAAACTATGTCAATCAAGAGGGCTGGATCCGTCACTGACTGAGTCATGTGACCCAGAGCGCCGCTTTACGTTTGTCTGAACTCCCCTTTAACAACAGCGCTAACTAAACTAACAGATGTTGTTAGAAGGGTTGTCAGGATACTGTCAGGAAAATTTGAAAAGCTTAAAATAAAAATATTCTCAAATCTTTTTTCTTAATTAAAACTTTAACTTAATTCTTAAAGTCTAATTTCTAAATTGCATTTTTTTTTTAGGGTTTAAGTAATTAATTGTCCATCCAATTTCCGTCACGGTTATCCTAATCGGGGTTGCGAGGGTTGCTGGTGCCTATGTCCAGCGGTCTACGGGCGTGAGGCGGGGTCCACCCTGGACAGGTCGCCAGTCTATCGGAGGGCAACACAGAGAAAAACAGGACAAACAACCGTTCACACACACCTAAGGAGAATTTAGAGAAGCTAATTAACCTAAAAATCATGGTTTTGGACTGTGGGAGGAAGCCGGAGTACCCAGAGAGAACCCACGCATGCACAGGGAGAACTCCATGCAGAACGACCCCAGGCCGTGAATCGAACCCGGAACCTTCTTGCTGCAAGGCAGCAGTGCTACCCACTGCACACCACTGAGCAGCCCAAGTAATTCATTAAATTAATTTATAAATGTTGTTTTTTCAAGTTTCCTCTCAATGATAACAGAACAAATTGCACTAAATATAACATTCTATATGCACCATATAACACTAGAAACACTTTTTAATGTTTTTCACTACCGAAAATATTCTTTTCAGCCCAAAAGAAAGGAAGTTGGTTCTTTACAGTGTTGGGGCAAGCTGTGCACTGGTGGCAACATGTTTCCATACTGTAGCTCACTTTGAAGGAGATGTCCTGGCCTCCTTTATCCTGCTGGATGTTCTGAAGCTCTCTTTAAAGCAGCTAAACTAGTTTATTAAATCTACTTTCAGTTGCATTTTTAATGATACACCATGTTGATCCAAATCAATGACAGTGGTGCTATTTTTTTCTGTGATAACCGCCGCTTAGAAAAGAAGGAAATGAACAGAAGCGCATCAGCTCCTCTTTAATATGAATTACTTTGGTAATTAGATTGATTTCAGATGGACATGCTTACAGCCTCCCCTGGGCATAATACAGTAAAGCAGGTACAAATGAGTTTTTGTTAGAAGGTAAACTGAAAAGCTATCAGAGCCCTGTGCAATGAATTGATTCAGTGTGAAAATATCACCAGTAATAACTGCAAAGATTGCAAATCACAAGATTAGTGTCGCTGCCCAGAATGTAGAACCCCAGATTCATTTTCAGTGAAGCACTCAGGCTTTTTTCCTGCATGTATTTGTGATTTCTCCTACAATCTCTGGCATTTTTTAAATGTTTTCTTTGCTCCGTCACCGCAGAACAACGTCCTTTTTTCTCCCCCTGCCATGTCGCTGCAGCAGTTAATTTCTCATATCAGCAACGCAGCTGTCAGTGGCTGTAAAACAGAAAATGATGGTATGCAGTCTGTGTACGATGTCAGCTGCGCGAGCACAGCTTTGATTCCTTCTCACTCCTCTTCGTCCTCCAGCTTTCTGACACGCCGAGGCAGGACCGGTGTCACAATCTCCTCAACGCTCTCAACTCTCACAAGGACAGGTGAGTGGTGGAGTTTTAAGGCGAAGAACAAACACCAGACGCACGGCAGCAAACTGATGAGGAGACAGGCTGAGGTGAAACGTGTGACTTTGAATAAAGAGGGAGGAAAATGAAGCTGACAGAGCTAAAGAGATTATTTTGATTTGTAAGCTGCACAGAATGCAGGTAACCTCCATCAAATTCTTATAACCCCCACCAAACAATTGTAAGCTTCCAGCATTCTTGTTTTAGATGTTGAAATAAATAACCTTGCATCCAAAAAAACAACAACAAATTTCTCCAGGCGAAGTCTGTTCTATTTATGTTCATGTTAATTACAGAATCACTACCTTTGATGTGTTCCCACGTCCTGCTTCTCATCAGGAGCATAACTACATTATGCTTCTAAGCTTCATTTCCACATTTTGTGATGTTTCAACCAAAATCTTTTCTTCTATGCGTGATAGAGGCTCAAACAACTGCACATGATGTGGAAATGAGTGCATCTCTCCAAAGTCCTTCAATCTACAGTCATTCCCTGGCATCTCCCATAAACACGCATTCATAAGCTGATGGTGATCAGCTACATTGCAGCCTGAGCTGCCCTGGGTCACCGTGACAGGAGCGAGGCTGTTGTAGAAACCAGGCCTTCTGTCCACTTGTTAGGTTCAAAAACGTAGGTTCGTAAAAGAAGGACTGAAAACACACAGTAAGGGATTTTCAAACAGCTTCTGCAGGAGGGGAGAAAGAGCTGCACCCAACACTCTCTCCGACCCCCCTCCTTGCAATGCCTTATTTATTTTTTATTTTTTTTATTCTCTTTATTGAAATACTACATCATCATAACAAAGATGGTTAAAATATTACAACAAAAACATTTTTTTTTCCTTTTGTACAATCTGTTTTTCTATTCAGTACAGCTCGCCCATCGAACGTAGGTACAAACATAGAACCTGAGGTGTTCTTTCATTTTTGTCAAGCGTAAAGGGGGTTGTTTGAAATTAAATAGACAAAGTTTCAAAAATAATTGAAAATTGATTCAATTAGATAAAGGAAGGGCACCTTGAAGAAATGTACGTTTTCCATAAATTCCAATTGTCTTCAAATTTAGATTTCTGTAACCTGATGAAAAAAGTAATTCTTTCCATTATGAATATTTTGTAGATGATACCATACCAGTCCTCAATGCATGGGCTGCCTGGTTTTAGCCATTTCTTGGTGATTGCTTTCCTGGCTGCTACACTCAGTATTCCAAATAAATATTTGGTCTTTGTGTTTGTCGATATTGAGTGTGATATTCCGAAAAGAAGTTCCTCCCAGTTAAAATCAGTTTTTGATCCAAATATAACTCTTAGTTCTGTGCAGAATATAGTTACAACTGGGCAACCCAAAAAAGATGAAAATGATTGGCTTCAATACCTTATTTATTAACAGAACATAACACATGGTTACAAAAGAGAGTATTGTTCTGACAGGACAGTTGATCAGGTCATAAGACAGGATGCTCTCCTCTTGACTGAATCAAAACACAAAGTGAAGCATCTCCTTGCTTCAATGTTTACATGTACATACATTAATTTTATAATCATCACTGAATAAACCTAACACCACCAACAGCTGGCTTCTTCCTGATCCATCACATTGAAAAATATTACGTTTAATGCAGAATCTTTGAGTTTGTGATTTCTGCTCCCCATCATATTTCAACATATTCTCATTATCAGTTCGTATGAAATCGTACGAAAAGTTATGCACAGTATTTCGTACGTTTTTGACGTTTTTCCTCGAAAAAACAGATCAGTGCGCATGCGCAGCCAGACAGACGAAAAAAGCAGATCTGCGGACGGACGTAAAACTGGGAAAAACAGTGCAATAATTACTTCTTCATGTCTCAAACTAGGTTGCTTGCTGTTTTGTATCTTAGGGTTAGGGTCAGGGTTAGGGGTAATTGTATGTTAAATTCTATGTTATGCTACGTTCACACCGGACGCAGCAAAAGCAGCAAAATCACGTCTGCTGCTTAATTTTTGCTGGTGTACCAGTTAGTTCTGGCTGCGCGGTGCAAAAGTGTGTCTGACGCGCGTTGGGCGGAGCTTCATTATCCTTTCTCTGCCTTGCAGCTATATTTGCTGTGATCAGTGGGAATAAAGTAGTTTTACTATGTTTTTAAGTGAGAAAATACACCTGAAAACATAATCAGTGCAGTCAGTTCATTCAGATTATCATCCTGCCTTACAATATTTTTTCTGTCGGAGCCGCTCAGACCCCCACATACCAGCGGTGCGCTGTCAGTAGGAATCCCTTCATCAGCAGCCTCTGGCCGGGTCGCCTCCTCTTGGTTCACCGCGGCAGCTGGTAGGTGGTTTTCATCTAAATAATCCGATCTGCAGGCAGCAGGATAATAAAAGCCAACATATTCTGCCGGCAGATTTCTGCATTTTAAGTTAATTTAGGCGTCAATAAACTGTTTAAGAGGAGTGATCATAGCGCTGTGATCATCAGCGCTGTGTCTCTCTCCCTGCCAGTTCCCAGATCAGCTTCTCTGATTGGTTGACGCGGCGCGTCGAGCAGCAAAAATTCAATTTTTCCATCTCGAGCAGAAGCGCGTTTGCGGCGCGTCACGTGCGTTAGATGCTTAAACGCGCCCGACGCGCTGCTTCAGCTGCTCAGACGCGCTGCGCCTGCTGCTCAAAACGCGCCGCGGGATCTTTTGCTGCGCCTTGACGCGCGTCAACCATTGACTTTGCATGTAAACTCGCTGCTTCTGTCGCGCCAGCTGCGTCCGGTGTGAACGTAGCATCATTGAATGGTGCATAAGATGCGCAAGGATATCTTGTCTCGAGGCAAGACGTAAAAATACGACGAAATACGACGAAAAAAAGTCAAAAACGTATGAAATTACTGTGCATAACTTTTCGTACGATTTCATACGAACTGATAATGAGAATACACTGCATATTTGGCCCTCTTGTAAATAGGAAGTGGTGCCCTAGTGGTTAGGGCATAAAGTTTGGAATCCTGAGGTTCTGAGTTCGAGCTCCACTCCTAAAGACTGCGTCTGGGTCTCTGAGCAAGACTTTTAACCCCACACTGCTCCCTGGGTGCCGCACAATGGCAGCCCTCTGCTCCCCAAGGGGATGGGTTAAACGCAGAGGTAAATTTCTCGGATGTAAGATCAATAAAGTTCAATTATTATTATTATTATATATTGTTATTATAAGTGATTTGGAAAAAATACCTTGCTCTTGTTTTAAAATCACATCATTTGTTCAGTTATATGTATAAATGTTATAAATTTAGCTCATCTGCTTTGTATTTCAATTTTTATATTTGGATTACAAAATTAAAAAGGCTGCTTGTTTCTTTGTTTACTAATACCTGTTTCTAAATCAAATCACCCAAAATAAACATTGACCCAGATTTTTTTTTCTTTCTGTTTTATCTTTTTTTTTTTATGTACAGTTTCCCTCACTTCACAATAATGTAGTACTCTGTGTTGATGTTGTTCATAAAATTATGACCTTTACTGTTTGTGGTTGGAACATGACGAAATGTGAAAAAAAAAGAAAAGAAAAATTACGCAGGAGGTTTACTGCTAAAGTGTACCATGAATTCATTATTCGCAAATAGGGATGGTGAAAACACGGGTAAAAGAACAGAAATCAAAGTAATGTTCCTCTGTCGTCACCTAGGTTCGTTTCTGGAAAGGAGATCAAGAAGAAGAAGTGTCTGTTTGGGTTGCAGGTACGAGCTCCGCCTCCACTGACGTCTGATTCGTCGCCTCTCGTCACTGATCCTCCTATCAGCATCACCCACCGGAAAAGGTCAGATGAAAAACTATTTTTTACGGTGAGGTTGGTTCCAGCCGGTCAGCCGCCAATGCAGCACAACGGGCGCCGCATGGAGAGGCTGATGTCCCGGAGCTTAGAGAACAGGCAGGAGATCAGAACCTAGCAGACAAAGGAAGGCAGGTTAATCCAGAAGGCAAAGCTAAACCCAGTCTAGAGGACGTGCTCCGGAGTCAGAGCCAGAAAATCAGAGGTCTGAAGAGGTTCTAAAGGGACATCGAGGATGGTGTCAGGAATCAGTTCCAGGTGTGGTACACAGGAAGAAATCCAGCAGGAGTCCAAGGACAGGTCAGACAAACAGATCAGAACAGGGACAGGCAGGCTCAGGGTTCCAGAGGCGCACCGGCTGAGGATCAGGCAATTAGAAAACGCTCAGGTTCGCTAGAGAAACTCTCACCAAAGGTACTGATGACTGGTTGAAGGCTGTTTAAATAGAGGCTGAAGCAGGCGGATCAGGTAAAAGGGAATGAGAACTGGGCAGAGGTAGGCAGGTGAATGAAATAAGTGACCAAACCAGTCATCAGCGCCAAGATCATGACATGAATCATGGCCTGGATAACTGATAACTAAGAGATCTGCCTCGCGTTCTACTTTTAGTTACCGCTATCTGCAGACCTGCAGATTGAAAACGAAGTGCTGTGTTAGAAACATAGGGAACAATCACATCTCTGATATAAGACTGAGCTTGGTTATTTAGGGTTTTATATTTCAGAAGGAGGATTTTAAATTCTATAATGGATTTAACAGGAAGCCAATGAAGAGAAGCTTCATATGACTTTTGTTGGTCTATCAAATAAAAACTAGGGATGCGCGATATAATCGGCCCCCTATCGGTATCGGCCTTAAAACTGAATATCGGAAATCGGCCACCCCACCGATATTTAACCCGATATTTGATCAGCTTCTGAGTTTCTAAAGTCTAAAAAAAATAAAAAATAAAATACTATTTCTTCTTCCTCAAAAACTTCTTTTTTACAGACTTAAAAACTTCTAAGGATGAGGGAAAAAATATTGATACATTAAAATATCACAAAAATATCACAATATCTTCATATGCTGATATATTGCCATTTAAAAACACCATATCAATCTCTTTTACTAATGAAATATTGCTATATGTCATCGTTATGCTACGAAATCCCCCGAAAATTCACGAAATTTTGCCATATTCTTATATGTTGATATATTGACGCGGTATCGATCTATTTTACTAACAAAATCTCACAAGAATTTGCAAAATATAGAGTTTGTAACAGAACGATGAAATTTCACGAGATTTTGAAAGTAAAATAGATCAATACCGCGTTTTTAAAAATCAATTTGATATCAGCATATGAAAATATACTTGAGTATATTATTATTTTTTTCAATCTTTGTTAATTTATTTTAGTTAACTCAGTAAACAATACATTCCAAGGCAATATGGAATATAAAAAAAAAACAGAAAAACAAACCAAAGCATAACACCATAACAGAGCCTGTATATAGTTATGTAACAAGAGTATATTGTTTTTCAAAGTGTCAAAAATGGATAACAAAAGTTTTATTTTCAATGACTACTTATTTTTGTCCAGCTCTAACATCAGTATCGATATCGGTTATCGGCTACATGAGTCTTAAAATATCGGCATATCGGATATCGGCCAAAATCCCAATATCATGCATCCCTAATAAAAACCTCAATAAAATAAACACCTTGTTTTGTAGCATCACAAAATGGAAAATAGGTCAAACACAGTAGAAATGAGAATACCCATATTACCTTCTTTTCTTCCATGGACCTGTCTGAAGCCCTGCATGAATAAATTATATTCCTGTTTATCCTTCTATACTAATTTATGTTTTCTTTTCCTCAGCCCGTTGTCACTGCCCTGCCAGAGGAGAGTTGGGGGTTCGGAGTCCCGTAAATCAAAGCGTCGCATCATGGAGACACAGGTCAGCGCCTCTGTCTCAGGAGGAGTGGGGGGGGGTCATTGATATGTTCTCCATTTTTAACTGCACTCAGGTAAACAGTTCCCTCCAAATCCAATCAGCTGTCAGTAAGACGGCGCCATAAAGGTTCATTTCGCCGTGGAGTTCCGTTTTTTTTACTCCCTTCTCTCAGTTCAGTGCTTCTGTAGCAGTTCTCTGTTCTGCAGGATGCTAATGTCTGACGGTACACAGATAGATTAATAATAGCTCTGAGAGTTGTGGCGGTGCTTCGCTAAAATGTTTAATTAAAATCTAATCTTGCCAAAACCTGCTCTTGTATTTCATCAACACCTGCAGTTCAGCGTCGCATTTATCATTATCATCAAAGCCAATTCCCAGCGGATCACTCTGGAACAAGTACCATCACATGTTGCGGTTGCTATTAATACTCGGCGTTCTTAACCGAGAATGCTCCTTGTGCTTTTTCCCTCCTACTCATCACTATGATCTGAGTATGTGCATATACTGTAATCCTGGAACAATGCGCTCTGCAGAGCTCCCTCTCTCTCTCTCTTTTTTTCTTCCTCTGGCATATCCAGGTCTCATTGTTCTCCTCTGACTGATGTTAATCTCCGCCTGGCTTTGAGGAGCTGCTTCTTCTTGTAGTGAGGAAAGCGAGATGGGTAGGAATGCTGATGGCCTGGGATCACTTCCAAGCGCACTTTGCAGTCAATTACAGTTTGGCCAGGTGGCGCTGGCACCTTGACAGCGCAACTCTGACAGAGGAGCAGCGTTTAAAGGCACAGACGTTTGCTGAAGCCTCTGAGTAATAGTCCTCCATCATTATAGTCATGCTACAGAATGATAATGGGCTCAGTGTGGTGCTATACGTCACAGTCCAGTGATGAGGAATCGGCCTCCGGGATGATGTTCCCAGTGACTGATGGCTCTATCAGATGATCCTAAAGTTTGCACTTGTTACGGGTCGTTGATAGACAGAGAGCTGCTTGCTAACCAACGATATGAGAGAAGATTTGAAGGGAAAACACATTTCTTTCCCCCAGATTATGCATAAAAAAATGTTTTAGTGATTCTATTTTCATTTTTATTCACATAATTTTCATATTTACACAGTGGACTGAAATAGAATTGCAAAGTATTCATAGCCTTTTAAGGCTTTCACATTTTTCTCATTTTCCAAGCACACATTTTTATGTTTTTTACCAGGTATTTATGTAACAGAGCAACAAAAAACGGATTATTTTCACTGGAAGGAAAATCTTTCATGGTTTTTCTTTTTGTTTTATACATATTTAACAATGTTGAATGCATGAGGTAATACTTTCAGCAGCTTTCAGAGTAATTACAGCTGCAAATCTTTCTACCAGCTCTGCAGATTCAGAGATTTTAGGCTGATTGATCTATTCAAAATAACTCCAACTCAGTTATTCATTGCAACTCTGAATGTATGTTAAAGAATGTGGTCCTGCTGGGTTTTACCTCCAAATGTTTTCACTATAGCTTTGATTTAACTTTGCATTGGATAGGGCGTGCAACTTTGTCCTCTCAACCTTTGTTTAGATGACTAATGTGCTACAGGCAGTTTGAGAGTGACAGTGAAAGACAGATATTTTCGAATTTCTTGTTTCACAAATTGCATTCTTTTCAAACTGCTTTTTAATAGATCACACAATCCCGCAATGCAATCCATAAAACAACAATTTGATATGAAAGCAATTTGTTAAACTAAACCTGTAAAGGAAAAATTTAAAAAAGGAAATTTGTAAATATAAAATAATAAAGTTTGAAACAACAATAAGAAAATAATACAAAAACAAACAAAACTAAGAAAAGTTATTTAAAAAAAATAAAATCTAACAGAAAAGCTTTTCAAAGTTCAAAGTTTTTCAAAGTTCAATATCTGGATTGCATTTTTTTTTATAATTTCTTTTTATTAAATATGTTCTTCACTTGCAACAATAATGGAGCCAAGTTTATTCCATGCATTCCTAAGCGTTTGCGTTATTTTTGTATTTTGCGTTATTTTGTGGCTCTGTAGATGTTCGAGCCAAAGCATTCAGGCTGCTGACACAGATAATAAATGATCCAGTCACCTTTTATATATATATATATATATATATATATATATATATATATATATATATATATATATAAAAGGTGACTGGTCATATATATATATAAAAGGTGACTGATCATTTAGATAATAAATGATCCAGTCACCTTTTATATATATATATATATATATATATATATATATATATATATATATATATATATATATATATATATATATATATATATATATATATATATATATATATATATATAAACTTGGTCACTTTACTCCTGCTTTCAAATCTGACTGTCTGCTGGTGGAGCAACGGCTCATGCGTTCACCTGCCTGCAGGCGCTCAGGGTGAATTGATCAGAGTCTGATCTTTTCAATGTACCTTTCTTGGGTAAATGTGCAAATAGACACAGTTTATTTTCGTTATCGGCTTAATTTCAGTGTAATTTTGACAAATTTCAGTGTTGCCAGTGTTTGTGCTGAAATGCACTGGTCAGAGTCCTGGGGGAGAGGGTGCAGATGTTAGTTAAATGGTGGATAAGCTCATAAAAATGAGCATAGTGTCCTGAAATTCAGCATAGTGGGGAGAAATCTGAGTGTAGCGACCTGATACGCTTGAATACGCTGGCGAGAACCCTGATGTACACATTTACATGCATAAACACGATGAATCATACCATTATTATCTATTAATCCACATGATCACAACCATGGGAAATATATGTAAACACCATCCACCATACCCATTAGTTTGATCGCCATTCTTCCATCTCATATTTTTTAAGAAAACCAGTTTGAAACTTTTCCTAAACAGTTTCATGTTGGACATTGTTTTATTTCCACACTTGGTTCCATACATGATAACTTTTAAATGAAATACATGCTCTTTTCATGTTTGTTTAAGCACATAACATTTTAAAATTTGGATTCTTCCTCTCTTTCTTAACAACATTTTTTTTTAATGCAATCTGGTGGCTGTTTAGCTTTATAAATTAAATGTAAGCTTTGAAACCGATCAGAGAATTTAAGCAAGCAGGAATGAATGAATAATAGGTTAATGAGGTCATGGTAGCCTGTTGTGGATTTAGCCGAAACATCCATCTTACAGAAATGACAGAAAATTCAGATTGATGCAACATGGCTTCACTTCTCAACCGCTGCATCTTAAAAAAAAAAAAAATAATTATATTGCTTCATTTACTGACTCAGCTTTTCTTCTTCGCCATATAAATTACAAGAAAACAACAACCTTGCTATAACATGAGGCTCCTGCGCCCTCTAGCGGTGAAACATTTGTGCAGCCGAATGACTTTTGTGACAATTCTTAACTCTATAATCCATAGAAACCCTTCCCTTTTCTCTTTTAATACATTTTATTATTATTTGTAATTGTAATATATTTCTATTTTTCTAAATTGTGAACTTTTCAATTAACCATATTATAAAACTTTAACATTGCCGACCTTATGAGCTCTCCTGGCGGCTCTTTTCTTCTCCCCAATAAACTTTCTAATAAACATCATCATCTGGTTGCCATTCAAGCAGAGTACGGCTAAGCGCTTTTATTTTAGTCATTGTGTTTTAATGTTTTGTTTAATAGCACCATAAAACACTGCTTACGGTTATTCACTTTACTTCTGTTTTACTGATATCACTGAATATCATTGAGGAGGCTGTAATGCGTTTCTCTGTGAAGCACTCCTTTCAAGATCATTATGATATTTTTGTAAATAAGGTTTAGACACGTGATGCAGGAACAACATTCTTCCTGTTGACTGATTTAGGATAAGAAATCTTTATAAGAAAGCAGAAACACATCAAGTTTAAATACACTTAGTTAAAATAAAAATAAAAAGTAGATAATTTTTATTGACTGAATTTTCTGGATCCAAAACTGGCTTAAAGATAAAAGGTCACTGTGATTCCAAAAAAGTTTGAAGACGTTTCGCTTCCTGTCCAGGAAGCTTTTTCAATTCAAAATGTCAGAAATAGCGTTGAGTTCGAGGCTTTATGCAGTCGCCCAACAAAGCCTTGTGTTGTGTTAAATGAGGAAATGATGTCCCCTAAAAAAGCCGTTGCGCCTCTGGGGCTTCCTCCCGGTTCTTTTCCTGGGAGCAAGTTATTTACTACTCTTAATTCAAACTGGGTAAAATCATATAAAAAAGGACTATAAAACAGGAGTAAAAAAGTAACAGAGTTTATTCCAGATCAGGTTGTTACAGGACAGAGAAAATGCTTGGAGCTTGTACAGCTGTGGGCTCAAAAATCACGTCCGCGAGCGTCCGGCAAAGATTGAGCCCCGAACAAGGTCATCTTCTGCTTCTTATAGCTCATGAGTCTATGTGTTGCACCAGGTGGATGCTTAGTTGTCCGTTTCAGAAACTGACACGCCATCCAATATCCTGTGTATTTGTAAAGACACGAAGGCTGTCCTGATTAGATGACCTCCGTACACACAGTGACATCCACAATGTGAAGGAAGGTTATCTACTCTCTCTAATCCGGCTAGCAAAGTAACGATGCACATGATGTATAAAGCATAAACCTAACAGTTGGCTTAGAAAACATGCAAATTGAAACTGACAAACGGGTCCACCCCTTTGGAATGGGAATTTTTTGGCTTCTTTGTTAGCCTGCAATGCCCCATACCTGCCTCTGAAAGGGGGGTCGTTAAAGGGAATTGTTGGCCTGGCTGAACATGCGAGGTCTTCTGTTCCTGTAAGCAGGTGGGGGTTGCGAAGGTCACTGTTGTGTCATTGCTGGAGATACACAGATCTGTTCCCAACCCCTCTGTTTTTGCAGGCATGTCCACCTCCAGTCGTTACCAACCCAGTGGAACTCCTGCCTTGTTGCCATGGCTACATGGGAGGACCCAACCTTTTTAACTCCAGGAAGTATGATGAAGAGATCAATACAAGGTAATGGCTGGTAATGCCCGAACCCCTCAATCCCTATATAAAGCAGGGACTATATAGTGAACTCAATTAACTGACCGGTTCGAACAGATCAAAACATTTTGCAACATGTTTTTTCTCCAACACAGTTTACATTTGATCACTGCTGCACTTTATGGAATGAAAATGTTTATTTACTGTCTGAAAGCTGTACTAAACGAATTTTCCTTTTGTATACACTCTGTGTATACCAAATGACAATAAAGGTTTTCTAAATCTTCCAGTTGGTCATGTGACTCTGGCTTCCCGCACGGTGTCTGCGCCATCTTTGTTCTCTTGCCCCCAAAACAAATCCCATGATGCTTTTGCAAGGAGAGCTCTTGCAAAGTATTCTGGGATATATCTGCTTGTCTAGTGGCCATGGTTGCACACTACTTTTCAAGGTGCATTATGGGAAATTTCGAGACCACGACTTTTTCATCCACTAGACATTCGGATACTAAAATGTCGTAACCACTTAGCCCTACATAGTTCTTTATGTAGGGCTTAGGGCGGAAGTTTTGGACGTTAGAGAGAATTGTTGGCCTGGCTGAACAGGCGAGGGGTTTTGGTCGCCTCTATGGGGTTATATCAGAACGAGTGACTCAGACATAGGTTGAGTTTCTCTTTGTGAAACGGAAAACCTGAAACTGACACATTCTTACCTGGATTATGTTTAGCTGACATGCCAACAGAAGTAGTTTTTTTACAGAATCATCACATATTAATAAAACAAAAAAGCCTTGATAATCAGTATTGTTTTTCTTGTCTTTTAGCCCAAATGCAGCTTTTAAATTTCCAGCATATCTATATTTATCTGGATATTTTTAGGCTAAAAATATACATCTGTCTATTTCATCCACAGCTCCCCTCCCAAGCGAATGTATGCCCTGTACCACAGCTCCTACAACGGGAATAACGCTCTCTCCAGGGGACTTCATCACTACGACAGGTTTTACCTCAAATCTTTAAGACTTTTTGGTGTCAGATCTTAAATACACAGGACTGTTGTTTTTCAATTCAAAATCACAGAGAAATAACAAAGCTGGATGCCATGAAACAGTTTGAATGATGGTCTATGGAATAAGTTAACAATTGACAAAAATTGACAAATTGACAACAATAAATTGGAATAAATTGACAATGCAGTTATTTTCAGGTATTTCGGGATCTGAAAATAAGTGTCAATTGGAACAGATTAATAAAAGAATCAGCCAATGGGTATTTTTGTCCTTAAAATAGGATGATTCAATATCTTCCGCTTTACGTTGTCATAAACCGGGACAAATGGACCCAGTATTCAAGGTGAGACAGTCAGTAGGAAAGTTCAAAACGTTTATTAAAACAAAACCAAACACACCAGAACAGAAACTGGCTTCTGTGGATCAGTGGAACTGCAAAGACTGTGGGGAAAGGGGGGGCGGGGCACCGCCCAATAGCTCTCTTGTTTGAAAGTTCAGTCCATGCTCTTCAAAAGAGGTGAGATCCGGCCAATGGGCTTGTGCTGCCCAGAGTGTCCCAGATGCTGCAACCCCGGAGAACATACAGGAGGCCGATCCAGGTCAGGGGAAAACAGAGTAGGCCGGAACAGACCAAGAATCCAAGAGTCCACAGCTGATCTGAAGTTCCGACCCAAACAGGAACGAAAGAATCCAGACTTCCAGGAATCCACAGAACAGGTTCAGAGTCCAGAGTCAGATGGATCCAGAAGCCTGCCAACACAGACGCACAGATGCAGACAAGCAGGCTCAGTGGTTGAGAGAACAGAGACAAGACGTTGTACCAGAAATTCTGCAGGAAACTTTAAACTAGTCTCCTCCGAGGAGCCAGGCTTACAGGAATTAAACTGACCTTTTCCGCGTTCTGAGCAAAAACCCTGAGGGCTCTGCAGAGAAGGACCAGGATACAATCAGAGGACAGAAAAAACTCAAAAAATGTCTCAATCCACCGCCAGAAACCAGGACATGAACCGTGGAATAAACTAAAACTACCAAACAGACAAACCCTGATCACTCGGGCTTAACTGAATATAAAGCGCAAGAAGCAGGTGAAAAAGATGAGTTAAAATTAGCAACCGGGCAGAACTAGACAGGTGAGTGGAATTAACAATTAAGGTAAAGCTATCAGGCCAGATCATGACATATTTAAAATAATGGAGTTTTTTTTCTTATTTTAAACATGAATGATTTTATTCTATTGGAAAATAATCTTACTTAGTTTTGAAAAATCTAAATTTAGATATTACAAAGATAACTTAGAAGGTGGCTGTAGTTTGGACCTGTTGGAATCTCTCACATCCTCTCATGTTTGCCATTGCAGTATGGAGGACATCTGCAGGTTACCACCAACGTGCTTCACATACCCCTTCAGCTCCAACGGGAACCCCCATCTCCATCACCTCCACCAGCACAGCCACCAACACAACCAGAAGCAGCTGGAGCCCCTCATCCTGCGCGACGTCCCTCCCTATCAGAGCAGCGCGGTCGGCGGCGGGGCCAGCGGCGGCGCGGGAAGCGAAGCAGGAACGGGCGTGGGTACGGGAGGGGGTGACGGGACTGTGTCCAGGAGCTGGGCGGGAGGAGGGGAGGCTGTGAGGATCTTGGCCAGACGCGTGACTCCAGATGGGAAGGTGCAGTACCTGGTGGAGTGGGACAACATGGGGCTGTACTGAGTGGGAGGACAGGAGACGCTGACTGTTTGGCTGTGGCCACCGGACTGTTGTGTATTTAAATATGTGGATAAAGAAACAAAAAAAATCCAATCTGCATAAGGTACAGATCGAGGTTTCTCTCAGAGTATCACCTCAGTTCGACATCATTATAAGCTCAGTACTAGGTGTTCCTCTTTGCTAGTGTTCCTCTGATATTTGTACCGTTAACTTTGGAATATGTTTGAATTTATCATGTTTTACATCGACGGTGGAAACTACTTCAACCTCCAGATATTTTATCAGTGTTTCACCCTTATTAGGAAAAACAGATATAAGGGTTTATAAACTGTATATACAGTACTCTACTGCAGGTACACAAGATATTAGAAGAACCACTTCCTGTTTCTTTTGTATTTTACTGTTTTTAATTTGAAATTTTCCTGAGAAATGTTTATTTTCCTGCTTCATTATAGATACCTTGATCCCAGTTGGTGAAAATATTGGCACTGTGAGAAGACACAAAGAATAAAACAGAAGAAAGCTTATTTTTTTGTGAATGTGACTTTTATTATATTCTCCTTATTCTAATTAAAAAGCATGCTTAGGATAATTCAAACTTTTATTTTAGTAAAGATATGGTGAAGGAGAAAATCCTTCCTATGAAATGCAAATGTTTTTTTTGTTTTTTTTTATAAAATTACAGGTGTCATTAAAGTAAGTCCCAATACACTGAAAAAACTGAAATACAACTTAGCCAATTCTTCTTGAAATCCATTTATTTTTTCTTAATTTGTGCAGAAATTGAATAAAATTATCTACTTTTAAAATAAGAATAAAAGAACTCAACATCTTGATTTAAGTGAAAAATGCAAATTCCATTGGCATATTATCTCATTGCTCTGCTCAAATTAAATGCAAATACACTAATTTGTAAGAATTGTTGTAGATTTTGGATTTTATAGAAGTTCTCCTCAGTTCATCTCCCCCATGCTCCGTTTCTCTTACATTTTTTTTTTTTTTTAAAGACGGAACTTTGGCATTTCAAAGATTTAATTCTTAAATTCAGTCTTTTAAACTTTCTAGAGATTCTCCATTGGGATTAGGTGTGGGCTTTAACTAGGCCACTAGAAGACAATTAGCTAAAAGTTAAATGCCTCCCGGCCAGTAGGTAGCACCATCGTGTTTGCCTGCTCTGGTTTTCTATTTTTTGCCAACCAATAACCTGGTCGGCTAATGCTAATCAAACCAAATATTTAATTTACAGGAGAAAGGTGGCAACCTTCTTTTATCTCCTTTGCTTCCTTAAGTTGACACAAATGCTCCAAATCCTAACTGATATTTTACTCTTTTTTCATTTCATTTTGAAAAAGCCATTTCTCAGCTCTGTTAGCGCTGCTGGAAACGCTCAATGTGACTTCAACCCACTGTTACTATTACTGCAGAATTAGTTCATGTTGAAGTTTGTATCATAACCAGCAGAAAATATTCAAATAAATATTACATTTCTTTTAGTTATATTAAAGTCGTAGGGAAGCGGCTGTTCCAACGGTTGCATTTACGAATTCTCGCGAGTGGTGCCCGACTTTACACGAGTGAATAAAGTGAATGTGATTGGTCAATTATGAAGGGGGCGGGATTGTTGTGGCGGAAGGTTCTAAAGCTTTTTGGTTGTGGCCGGTGTCTCTGAAGCATCCTGCTAACCAGTTAGCAACTTAGTGCTAGTAGGTTCCCAATGAGAAATTCCATTGGGACCAAGTAGCACTAAATTGGTGACTTAGAAACGACGCTGTCAAGGAACGCTATGGACAGTGGAAACATGCAAGAGGAGGAGAGTTTAGTGTCGGAGGTCGTGGATGAGTCTCCTCCATCATCCATTTTTTATTTAGAGGGGGAAAGCGGGGACGAAGATGTTGTGGAAGAGGACGCCAGGGCGGCAGAAGCTTGGTTTGGTGTAGAAGGCTTCCAGCCGTACATGTTTGAGCCCTTGCCTCGCAACTCTGCCAGTTCTGTTAGCTCTACGCCTGCCGAAGACACAGACGTCCATCCCCGTGAACACTGGGACGCAGCCCAGTGGGAAAGGAAAGGATTCTGATTTTTTTATTTTAACCGTTGCGTATATTAGCTGCGACATATGAATCAAGATGCTTTGACTGAACAAATTTGATTGACAGAACACCATTGATATAAGATTGGCCGAATTTAGGTGTTCAGGCTGACGTAGAACTAACTGGCCTGCATAAGATAACAGGAAAAAATACACAGATTTTTAAGAAAGGATTTTTTTTTTTTATAGAAATTTTCTAATTCTTGGGACAATATGGTCTGATAAAGAATACATTTATATATATATTTAGGCAAGAATGATTTGAAATTTAAATATGACTTCCCAACGACTTTATACTCAGGAGATTCTGTGGATGAGTTTTAAAATGATTTTCATTAAATTAAGCCAGCTGGGCTTCTGCCTTACAGCATCACTTATAAATGATAGAGCTGGGTCTGTTTTACAGTGCTTAGTCCTTTATCTCTCCTAGACATACATATATAAGCTCAGCTTTCATTGTAACTCTCCTTCATACTTTTTGACAAGAAAAAGGCTCATAACTCGATTGCCTAACTGTTTCCTCCTCAGCCAGCCACAAGTGGAACTACTTTACCTTCTCTATCATAGAAAACATTTTAAAATCACTGCTTCTATGTTCCTCATGTATGTCTACCTGTCTCTTCCTGAACCCTTAGCTCACTTTGGGGCATCTTCTGCTAAAATTCTTCCTGCTAAAATTGAGATTTTCCTCTCCTCTGTCATTTCATGCATTGTCATTGAAAGTGGATCTGCGTGTTTATCCAGAAGGAGTGAATCCTTCAAAGGCACACTACAAAAACAATCAAGAAATAAGTAAAAATGTCTGAAATTAAGTGTATTTAGCTGTAATTTGAGTAGGTAAATTAGATAATTTGCCAATGGAATGAGCATTTTTACTCTTAAAATAAGATAATTAGATAATATGCACTTTAAATAAGACAATGAAATTGTTTTTTTCTTATTGTAAATGTAAATTGTCTTGTTTGATTGGCATTTACCTCCTCAATTCAAGAGAAAAAGCACTTACTTTAAGAAAAAATGACTTATTGAGATTTACATTTTTTGCAGTGTGTGACCGGAGGCAAGCAGCTGGTTTTCCTTAGATAGAAAACTTTTATCCAATCTGAATGGATGATCTGAGTGAATCATCTCTGAAAAGTGAGATGACCTGTGTTCACGGTGCCACATCTCTGGGTCTTATACTCCAGTTACCTTGGGTGTAGAATTTACTGCACTCATTGATTTTCACAGCTTGGAAGATAGTGAGTTTAAAAACCTTAAAAACATAAAACCCATCACATCAATGATAATTTTTTGGCCTACTTCCAGCAATCCCCCATTATTTTTCTTGGAAATTAAAACAAAGCCCAACTGTGTACAGCCTTGTAAATTATTCAGGTGGGAATGATGAACTGCCAAGTTTGTCCTGAAGGAGGGTTTAGCTACTTTGTGTGCGGCTGAGAATTTACGGCTGCTGCCAGCAGGAAAAGACAGATGTTCTTCTCGTGGTTTTGCACCAAGCTCTCTAGACGAATGGACGGGCCAAAGAAGGAAAACTCAGACAAATAGCATAACATTTCTGTTTTATTTCTGGGATATTTCTGCTGTTCTCTCTGTTTTCATATGGATTTAAAACTCTGACACAGTGGTGGGTTCAAGAAATTTGGGTCCAAGAAAACAACAGGTACAGACGAAGACAATGAACATGGGATATTTGCTTTGCCTTATTTTCCTTTCCTTTTTGCGTCTGTTTTTAAATGTCTGTTTTAAATCTAAGTTAATAGTGACAAATATTACAGGCATATATTTCTTTTTGCTCTTCTTCATTCTTAACTTTTTTTTTCATTTTGTATTTAATGTTTTCATTTAAAAAACCACCCCAAGAAAATATTAGTGAAGGAAAAATAACAATTCATCATATTTCTATTCAAGTAAGATTTTACAGTAATTAGAATAGAATAGAAAACCCTGTATTGTTTCACAATGGAGAAATTCTGATGTTTACAAAGTATACTTAGTTTCTAACAACATTTTATCTGCATTGTAAAGATATGTGCAAATTCTGGTATTTTAAAGACTGTAATAAAATAGTTACAACAAACGAATAACATTGAAAATACTAAATTCAGGCAAAAGAAACACTTTTCCAAATAAAATTATTTTTCAAATAGTTATGAAACCAGTCCCCACAAATGGTAATGTTAAAGCAGCACAATGTAGCTCCAGTGACATTATTTACTATTTACTCTATATTAGCTTAACCTCTAAATTTCACGGTCCGTTTGTCAGATATACAATAAGCTTGCATACATCGAAAATAACATTGATTTGAACTTTCTGTCTTTTTCTAAAAAACTTTCGTTTACAACAAAGCTTGATTATTATTTGATGAAGTTACACACAGTGGATGGAATTAAAAAACCTTTTACTCAAGTGGAAACTCAAGTAGAAAAGATCATAGTCAAGTAAAAGTATTCTCGAAAGTAATTTTTTTGTCAACTCATGCAAATGTAACTAGTTACTATCCACCTCTGTACAAATGTTTCTCATTCTGTTTACCTTTATATTAAGCGGGGAAAAACATAAAGGTTAATATATAAAAAAAACAAAAAACATTTTGCATTGAACATAACTTTTCCATTTCATTTTATTTTTTGATCTTTTGATGAATGCATGTTTAGCACCCATCTCTGTTGGAGTGCCAACTTTAAATCATTCTTTATTTTTGATCTGGAGATCATGGATGTTTTTCCAGTGTTAGCAAATGGCCACAGTTTTGTTTCTTGGACACCCCTGAAGGAAACCCTTATTGAATCTGTTGCATAACTCCGAAACAGAATGAAAAAATATTTTTTGTTTATAAAATGTTCATAAAACATTTTTACTGAAACCAACTTCTTTCTTTTCACATGAAGTTGCTTGGTTTAGTAGTAGTTTAATTGTTATAGATACTTGGCCCATTTTGAAACAGTTATCAATTTATTTATTTGTAGATTAAATCAACTCTTGTTCCACATGTACTCTAAAGAAAGAAAGAAAGAAAGAAAGAAAGAAAGAAAGAAAGAAAGAAAGAAAGAAAGAAAGAAAGAAAGAAAGAAAGAAAGAAAGTATATTTGCAGTAACTATGATTTGACGCTAGATGGAGCCCGCGGTTTAACATCCTGACCAATTCCAGCCACTTCTTAGTGATGCATTGTCTGTCCCATGGAAATTAGAAGAGAAAACTAGCTGTTCGATTTAATTTTATTTTAATGAAACGTTGACCTGAAAACAAGAAATGGCAGCATATTCACCACATACCTAGCAAACATTTTAATGTAGTGAAGTGAAGACATGTTTATATAACGTTTTTCAATTTTCATGATAAATTATGAATCAAACAACTTAAACTAGCAGAGCCCAAACATTAAACATCCTCTCTTTTCTTTTTTTATGAAATTACACCTACATCTAACTCCTTCT